AGGACGGCGGAAAAGTGGGGCGGGGCGGGGCGGGGGCGGGGCTTAGAGAGGGCGAGGGAGGAGGGGCGAGAAACAAAAGGGAAGATGTTCCCGCCTTTTTTCTCCTCCCCTTTTTTCTCTCTTTCTCTCTCTGAGGGAAAAGCGGGAGTTGTGCTGCTCCTGTTTGGAAGGCGGCGCCCGTTGGCCAGAGATCCTTTTTTTTTTAATCAATAATAATGAAGTATGTTGTTTTTTTAAAAAAAGCTTGCTTGGAAAGTCTCATCGTACCTTATTTCACCGTTTTCTTCAACACACACACACACACAGGGGCGCGAAGATTTAAAAAAAATACCAGTTTCTTCACACACTGGAGTGCTATAATGTGTGAAACAGGAAAGAAACTGAGGGGGCTGCCCGGTCCTTACTCTAGGGGCGATCAAAAAGTGTGGGCAATAGCACTTTATGGATCCCACCCAAGTGACTTTCCAAAAGAAAGAGCTAAAAATTCAGATTTTCAGACTTTCCAAACTCTTTTTTGATCGTTGGCCTCAAGAAAGAGGTGGTTCTTGATGGTGACTTGCCCAGAATTATCAGAAGGACTCTTTGGGCGTTGATGATCCGGATGCAGAAATGTCCCCAACTGACCACGATCTGAATACATTCCCCATCCTAAGCCCATGTATTCGAAGATTAGATAGGAAACTATAAAATGAGGTGGGAGTCCATTCCAGAAACTCTGATTTTAGATAAACTTGAGAATTCGCAAGGTACAGAAATGTGCAGAGCTGCTTTATGGACCTGTAAGAAACTTGGCCCATTTTAAGCAAATGATGTAAAAACCTAAATCTTTTATGGAGCTGATACATTTTTTTTTAAAAAAATGACTATTTTATTTCTAAATAGGCATCCGGAAAAATAAAGTAGCTACAGCAAATCAAGGGGGGAAATGGATGAGAACCGTCAGAGGCCTTTAGGATTCTGACGACGGATTGCTGCTCGTGGGCTCATGGGTCGTTTCTCCCTCCGTCGACGTCGGTTCAGGAACAGGCAAGCCGAGAATTTCCGTTGTGAAATGGGCTGCTGTGATTTCCTCTGGAATTTCTTCCTCAATAAACGCGTCTGCACCTGGAGGGAGAAAAGTCAAAACATCGTGCGTTTGGATTGGATCTAACGTTGACATGAAAAAAACGAGACATTGACAAAGCCAACATCAACCGTTTGTTGGGACTGGTCGGGGAGGGGGGGAAATAATCTCAGGAACTCTGTTTCTTCTTTTCTAAAAGCGGTGCAGTTATTTGGTGACCAGACACTGCGCCTTGCTAAACTTCTAATGAGCACCAAGAAAAAGAAAAATTACCGTATTTTTCGCACCATAAATGGGCAACAAGAAAAAGAAAGATTATATGTTTGAAATAAAGACCCTAGAATTATTGTACAAACTGGGCTCATGGGTTCAGCCAAAGCAGATTGCTGGATTCATTATTTCAACTAAACATGGGTCGCTGTGGGTCCTGTAAATTTGTCGTGCAATCAAAACTAAATGGCTCCATACGTGGGTCAATGTGTTATTGAAATATGTGCAAGAGCTTCAGAGAGGGGGTACTGACTACTACCCTGTTTCCCCAAAAATAAGACCTAACCTGAAAATAAGCCCTATTATGATCTTTCAGGATGTTCGTCATATAAGCCCTACCCCAAAAATAAGCCCCAGTTAAGTGAAACCCCACCTTCCACTCATGTGCAGCAACCAGAAGAAGATGACATGACTGTGTTTGAATCAATGTAGATGGTTGTACATGAAAAAAAAATAAAACATCCCCTGAAAATAAGCCCTAGTGTCTTTTTGGGAGCAAAAATTAAAATAAGGCCCTCTTATTTTCCTCCCACATTCTCTACAGGCTATGGCCCTCCTTGAGTTGTGAGAAGCCTACATGCACAGACCTTTGCATGTGTACTGCTTCTTTTGGGGAGCAAAAATTAATATAAGACCCTCTTATTTTCCTCCCACATTCTCTACAGGCTATGACACTCCTTCAGTTGTGAGAAGCCTACACCCACAGACCTCTGCATGTGTACTGCTTCTAATTTATTTATTTATTATTTATTTATTTTATTAGAGTTATACCCTGTCCATCTTCTAGACCAATGGTCTTCTCCGGATTTGGACACCCTCTCCGCTGATCACAAGTGCTTCTCTGTGCACAAACACCTTTGCACAATTACCATGCTGAAGGGGGGGCTCACGCATATCTCACAAGGATAAGGGGACCCCCCAAAGCCAGCTTCTGTCACCCTTTATCTCTTTATTTTCTCCTTTCTGCAACAAAAGCAGCTGCACCAGGAACGCTGCAAGCTGCCTTTAGCCCGGTTCATGGGAGAAAAATAGGATATAAATTGAATAAATCAACGTAAATGACAGTGTGTATCCCGTGATTCTACAGAAGCCATGAAATGTGTTACTGCATACAAAATGAAGGCTTCTGGGCTTCCCCCACTTTAACAAAAGCACATTTCTAACCCTTGTTAATTCCCAAATCCACCTGAACTTCGGCAGGCAATACCTAGTCAAGGGCAGAAGCTAAAAGCCACACAAGATTATCAGTAGGGAAGAAAAAGGGGCTGTTTCATGCAGATGTTGAATAAATTATGCAAAATTAGTAGAACGGCGGGAGTATTATCCTGAATTTGCATCAGTTCTTCTGACTTCACAAGTCGCCGGGCTTCTTAGGGAGATACGGTGGCACTTCAGCTCAATTACAGCCTGCAACCCCTTCCTGTCAGGACACCTACTACGTGATCGGAAGCACATCCACATCCTTTCATCCTCTCAGATCAATGCGGCTTACTTCATCATAAGTGCATTTAAGATCCAGGTGTTGAGGCTTATTCGCTGGAAGCTAAGTCAGCCTTTTAAATCTGTCGGACGGCAGTGTTCTACGATGAACAGATCTTACAGCCTGTTCCAGTACCATTTGGATCCTGCCTAGTGTGGAGGTTGAGTACCTGTGGGATCGTAGGTGCCAGCCTCAGAGCGACCCCCTTCTGGATTTACGCCCAGCAGAGTCGTGAGATGCTCTGCCAGTTCATCCTCCGTCAGATGCTCTCCTGTTTCGAGTAAAAGAAAAAAAAAATCAGCCTCTTAACCTTTGCCACCGCAGCATCCTGGTCACTGACGTCATCGTCACCAGCAGCGACACCAGAAAATCAGTTTCACGCCCAGCATCACCCACCTCTGTGCTGAAGCAGCAACAGTAGGTCATCCCTGTGAATGGTCAGTTGGTGGTTCTCGTTCTCGTAGCCCAGGATTCGGAAGGCGTTCTCTATCTCTTTTGCGGCCAGCCCAAACGCAGGACGATGGTTCACATAAAGTTTGATAAAGTCCCCTAAGTTGATGTCTGTCACTTGCTTCCCACTCTCCAAGTACTCGCTGAACTTGACTTCGTTTAACATGTCTTCAATCTAAAATAACAGAAAGTAAAAAATTTCAAAAGTAATACCATCATCAGTTTGTTCCGTCAAGACAACAATACAGAAATTTCACGGGTACTGCTTGCCTGCAGCAGTTATAATGCCACCTTCTCCTGACCCGCCGTATTACTGACTTGGAACAAGAAAAGGAACAGACACAATTCACCCTAACCTTTTACCATCCACCTCTCACACATTTATTTTAAAAAATCTTGGCTTGTAAAACCAACGTTAACGTGACCTCAAATTCACTTTTAGGAATTTTGGGAGTAGCACATGGAAATTATTTGGGAAGGTGGAAAAAGAGGAGACTATCCAGCTACATGGAAATGAGAACATATTTTCTGATGTTACCTTATGGAATTGGTTAAGGACATACAGAGCGCAACCGTATCAGCAAAGCGCTCTCATACAGACGGAAATGAGAACGTATTTTCTGATGTTACCTTATGGAATTGCTTTCAGATGGTTAAGGAAATACAGAGCGTAACCGTATCAGCAAAGCGCTCTCATACAGATGCGTCCTAAAGCATGGGCATGAGAACATCGTGAAAAGCTGAAAACTGAATGACAACTCCAGCAACTCCAAGGAGCAAGATGTTTTTCAAAAATCAGGCAGGGCCTTGATTTACTTACTGGGGATAAATACCAAATAAATCAGGCCTGGCCTTTATGTGGCAGGGACCGCAGTGTTTCTATAGGAGCGAAGGAGAGGGGAAGCGTGATCAGGAGGGCAATGATAACTCCCCCCAAGGGCATCGCTGACAGTCACATTTGCAGGGTTTCTCCCCTCCCCTGAAAGAATTTTGCAAAAGATACGACAAAAGGAAAACGGCCTTTTCATTAATTATAAATCGGGGAGGCAGGAAACTAGCGAGCTTTCCGTCCCCTTGGGATGTTTCGCGGAAGCGGAGCGGCTTTAAGCGCTGTTCCCATTTGTGTCTGCCCGTTTCTGCTCAATGGAGGGAAGTAGGCCATGAATCTGCCGTGCTCCAACGCCGTGAGAATGGGACTGGACTATTTTTCCAGCCACCCTTGAAGAGTTTTATTTGCCTGCCATCCTACACACACCGCCTTTCAAACACGCACACACTCCCATACAGGCAAGCACACTCCACAAGAAGAAAGCACTGATTTATCTCGGCCATCTCTACGGTTTCCTGTGATGCCGAAATGCAAGGCAGAGCCCTGCTCCATGAGGTTCTCACAGCTGCCTCCTGTTTTTCTCCTATTTCTCCCAGGTTTGGTGTTCGCTTTGCTACTGCCCACCTGCCGTGCCCGCTGCCTAAGACAATCCCTAAAGCTAATAGAAAATATAGGCTGACCATTTGAAGGACAGACACACGGGAAAGCCAGCAAAGGAAGTTTGGAGCCTCTCTCGAAGCTCATGCTATTAACATCCGACCCGGTCTTGGCAGGCTTTCTTAGCCTACATTTGTTCCGATAGGAAGAATTTTGGGGAAAAATGTACAGCAAAAATGATACATGAAGATTCATTTTTTTTGCTGATCAGAAAGAAAACGGCAACACTTGTCCAAGTGGTACATATACGTTTACCACGCGACAGGGCAGGAGCTCCTAACGTACCATGGAGCTTAGCCCTCACTGCTGCGCATCGTCCGATCCCGGCCGACTGCATGAGATAGGCTAATAAGCCTATTTAAACCGGCCTTGTTACGACTGCCGCCAGATGTTCCCTTTATAAGCTTCCCTAAAAAACACTGACCTGTTCCTCGGACGGGTAAAAACCCATGGCCCTCATGACAAAAGGAATCTGTTCCAAGGGAATGTGGGTTGAGACCTTTCTGGGCTCCATGGTGTCAATCCCTTGATGGCACAGCTGAGCGTAATAGAAATAGTCTTCTAGCTCCTGAAAAGACACATCACAGAGATGATTAGCCATCCCAGAGTGTGGAATATAAGACATGCCAAACTGCATGATGAATTAAACATGGATCTTCATGAGTCATGTATTGATCGCATGCCCCCTGATCCTAAATCAGGGCGTATTCCCAATTGCGATGTGTATGTGTGCATTTTAAATCTTGGGTGCAACTATACATCATTTAATAGCCACGCAACACAAGCAGTTCGCACGTGCAATAATGGCCCCGGGTTCAACCAGCACCGGTTAGAAAATGTTTGTGACCCTGCAGTGGAAATGTGTACTCTGCCCTCATTTTGCAGGCAGGCTTTGAACAATCACAACTGGGCCCCTGAATGCCTTTGTGTTTTTTTAATTAAGATAGTTTTTAATGCTTCCTTGCTTTTAATTATTCAGTTGTATTTTAATTAGCATATAGTTTGATTGGGGGTTGTCGTTTTTTAATGTTTAGCTTATTATGTTCTTCATTCTGTTCTTTTTAATATGATGAGCAGCCTTGGGTCTCCTCATTGGGAGAAAGGCGGCCTTTACAGAAAACAAGCAAATAAAAGAAAATAAGCAGTGTGTGCAAACTTGGTGTGATCTCGTGCCGTTTCCAACAGCCTGGGAGGCACACGGAACTCCGTCTGGAAAACAAAAATCAGATGCCTGAGCTGATGTACAGCGTAGCTCGCAAACTGGACCAGATTAGGAATTCTAGTTAAGTATATAAACCTTTAAATAAAGAAACCAGGGGATAGTCTGTGACTCCTCATGATTTCCGAGCACAAAAAAATGCTGATTTTTGACCTGTACATGAGATGGGCTTTCACAGGAACCTCCTGCATCAGGAAAGGACTTTATCACACCCACACACACGCACCCACTTCTACTGAGTAAAAGAGAGCATTTTTGGGTCTCAAGGTAACAAACTCAGCTGGTGTCCTGTCTGTAAGCTTTTAGAGGGCTCAAGTTAAATGTGTCTGGTTCCTTGGCTTTTAAAATGGCCTGTAAGTTCCGTGTCACAATCGGTAGCTAATGCTTTTATCCACAGTTCTTCTCCTTGTGGTGCCCTTGTTGCTTTTTTGATGGTGTACGTACCTTGCGTCGCTTTGATCAGCTTGCTCTAAGCTGCCTTGAGGGCATTCGTGCTGAAAACCGGGGCGTTTAAGATCCAACAAATAAACAAACCGAAGCCGTCTTTGAATTACCTTGAAAAAGTCGCCTTCTCTGCCCCCATCCAGGAGGTTATAGAACGGGGTCAGTTCTGTGCCGCCGAGAAAGACAGCGGCTTCCAAAGCACTAACGGGAGGAAGCACAAAAATGGTGTTTGAGTAAGGGTCCCAAGACCTTCTCGGCCTTCTTCTGAGCTGAAAGATCTCTCCAAAACATTTTTATTATTCTGAGCCATGGCTTCAAAAAGAGAAGCGAAATCCGAACATGGCATAAATATGTCGAAAGGCACAACTTTATATACTCCAGAAATCAGATATGACCATGCTAGCTGGTTCTGAGAAGAACAGTCCAAAAATCTAATTTTTTCTCCAAGCTCTCGAGTGCAACACCATCATCAGTGAATCCATGACTCCCTTCCTTTGTCAGTGGTGTAATTTCTGCTTTGGGGCGGTATTTCCAGAGTGAGTGTGTCTCACCACTTACTCCATCTCCTGCACCATTGCAGGTTTTGTTTTATGTTATTTTTATTTCCCTTTTTTAAAAAAAGAAAATGTTACATTAAAAAAAACAAAGTAATATTCCCTAGTCTACGGTCCCCTAGAGCTTTTTTTAAAACCTAGACAGAAATAATGAGGGCCATCAATTCTCTCAGATCAATTTAAGTTAAATTATGTTAATTAAATCTTTCAGACTTCCAACCTGCCCCAGCAGAAGCTCATGTGGGTTTTATGATGTTTTGCTTGCATTTGAGCTCCCCGCTGGAGATGCAAAACTAATAAGAAGGTGATAACTGATGAGAGAGAGAGACAAACACAGAGAGACAGACACGGTGTCTGATGCCTGAAGAATGACACTGATATCTATAAAATGTGATTGAAAAATATTTATATACCAGTTAATTTATATACCAGACCTCTGCCAGTGTATCATGCCCAGTGAATAATGGCAGATTCGGCCGTAATCTCTGGCACCTTGTTTGTTCAGGGTGCTGAGATAGCTCCTCATGGCTGCTTTAAAAGCAAGATGATGAAACTACAGTTCATTGCAAGACGCGCGTTGGAAGAAGGCTGACATCATGTGTTTTCCAAAGGAAAAAATAACTAAAATATTTTGCAAGGTTGGAGTGGAAGAAACCCTGTCTCCTTTTCCTTAATTGCTTTCAACATTCCTCCTTGCTTGAGCCTCAACCAGAGGGGGGGAAAAGACCTGCATCTCGGTACCTACGTCACGAGCGAGCTCGCGCCTTGTGCGCTCTACGCTTCTGCCTATAATTAAGTTATATCTGAGCATTAAATATTGCACAGACACGGAAGATGCCAGAGGCAGCAGAAATGTGCTAATTAGTTCGTAAAGTGCTTTCCTCGATCAACAAATTATGGAGGCATTCAATGTTCCCTGGACCTCAGCCAACAGTTATAAAACTGGATAATTTATATTTCGTGGCCTTCATTCGAGTTTTGCTCGTGCTGGACCTTTAGCTAATTAAACCGCATGCAAAAGTCAGTTTGAGCACATGGGAGAAAACTAAGAGCACAAAAATGTTACCCATTTCTGCTGATGCAAGGAAAGTGAACATCCTTAACAAAGTCCCCATAGGTCCTGAACCAAGGCACACATATGCATATACACGCACGCACACACACACGCCAGAACAATCAGCTCCTAAAGGGCTACAACAAGACCACGCGTGGATGCCAAGAGAGATCACCTACCACGCTCTTGCTTCCCACACTATAAGGCTTCAAACGCTTTAAATGACCATTTGCTTGCAGGATAAGCAAGCAAAAGAGACAAAAAGGTCATCTAGAAGGTGCAGCAAACTTATTCTACCCTTGCACGAGCAGAACGGGTAATGTCAGCTTTTCCTGGAATACTGGAGTGCTTTACAGATTATTGTGCAGTACTGGCTTGAACAGTAGGAAACCGTGGGGTGTTCGGCCAGTTCAGCTCTGTCACAAATATTTAGGAGATCTGTATTTCCCCATTTCCAACCTACACATGTGTAATTAGGAAAAAGGTCGCCAAGCCCGGCTGCAGGAGCTCACGACTATGAGACAGACTGTCTCTGATCCTGAGACAAATATATATCCGGATGAACAACAGGGACTGGTAACTTTGCCTGATCCCCTTTCAAATTCATCCCATTTGGTGGCCATCAAGACATTCTACAAACAACGTGATGTCCGAATAAGGACTTCCTCTCAAATAATGTTCTGATCTAAATCTCCCTCCATTTAGGCTGACTGGTTTCTTGCATTAGGGGAAAGAAAACAGTCACTTTTCCACCCTGGTCAAATGGTTTATGCCTGTATCCTTCTCCTAATTTTATTCACACTTTTCTTCTAAATTAAAAGAATAAGCTTGCTATGATCTCTATCACTCCCATTTCTCCTACCAGGTAGTAGATTCCCTGTCGTTTTCTAAACAGACAGTCTTCCCACCTCCAGAGAGGGCTTGACATGTGTCTAAAAAATGGAAGCACACTAGAAGCTGTTTCTAAGCCAGCCAAAATCTCTCCTCAGCCCGGAGTGCACTTGACCCCACAATATCAGGCTCACAAGGCCAGCCTCTTATGTGTGAGGTTACTGGTGTTGCTTCACCAATTAAGGACCCTACATCAGTTAAGACCCATTCTTCCCACTTCCAGAGAGGGCTTGGCACGTGTCTAAAAAATGGAAGCACACTAGAAGCTGTTTCTAAGCCAGCCAAAATCTCTCCTCAGCCCGGAGTGCACTTGACCCCACAATATCAGGCTCACAAGGCCAGCCTCTTATGTGTGAGGTTACTGGTGTTGCTTCACCAATTAAGGACCCTACATCAGTTAAGACCCATGTAAGAGCCCCACTGGATCAGGGCCTTGCTTTCTAAAATGGCAATCTTGCTGTAAAGTCCTTTTCTGGAGTGGAATGAGAAAACTCTACCACAACGTACCTTAGATTAATGTCCCACTTCATCACTGTTAAGTCATTACCCCCTGCAGTGAAGAGGTAGTGTCCATCAAAGGAGCAGGCAAGGTTGGAGACGCCTGCGGGGTGGCAAATGAATGCCGAGGACTTGTGTGGGTTCCCATCAATGGGCAAGATCTGCAAGCCAACCTAATGAGAAGAGGAGAGAACCTTACACAATTCCTTATGCGCACAACCTAACATGTATGCTGGGAGCGGAAACCTCTGGTCCTCTAGATATTGTGGTGGTCTGGTTCCCATCAGACCTGCAAGCATGACTGAATGGTTGGGGATGACAGGGTTAATAGACCAGCCACATGTATCGTGCGGCTAATCATTTGTATTACAAGCTAAGACTTTTAAAAGAAAATTTAATTTATCATCTTAGTAAGGGCAGCTAAAGCATGGCTCCTTGTTGGCTCTCTGCCAGCAGTCTAGCACAGCTAAGCACATTCTGTCCCTATATATATATTTTGGTGGTAAGAAGGGAAACAGCCAGAAATTGTGGGTTTCCACCCCATTCAGCTTGGGTGGAGGGGGAGGGGAGGAGCTGTCCAGCTGAGCCAAGATGAACTGGAATATCAGTGACCAGTCTTACCCACTCACACTCCATGTGGTTTCGAAGCCCTCCTGAATGTTTAGGATGGGTGGGGCAAATAGAGGATCCGGGAGCCGGTCCTGAGGGCACAGCACATCGCTACCTACAAAACTGGTCCGTATGACTTCCACTTGCCTTATCCTTTGTCATGTAGGCCAGATACCGTTTCTGAGGATCGTGACCCGGGGATACAGGGAGAACGAGCATCTTCTCCAGCGGGGAGCCATACGCTGGACCCAAAACAGTCTTTCTAAAAGGCACAATTACAAAAATGAAAGTGAATTGAATGAGAAAGTGAATTGATCATACAAGACAGGATGGTCCTTTAGGGGGAAAATGAACCCAACATGTCCTAGGTTACCTGCACAACTTGGTGGTCGCATTATACATTTTCATTTTATACTGATCGTTAGCGGTGAGGAAGAAATGCTCCATGGTGAGAGGCGGGTACCAGGTGATAGACTTGGGGACGGCGCTCTGCTCAATGCGGTCCTTTCGGAGAATGACCAGCTCATCTTTGACACTGTTTTGCAGGTCATATTCCACCTAGAAATGAAATACAAACCAAGCCAATCTTTCGTGTCACAAACGGCGTGTGTCAGACAGATTTCACTGCGGGGAAAAAATGGGTTACAGGCAATGCAAACACGTTGCAGAAAAAAATGGGTTACAGGCAATGCAAACACGATGTACAGAGTGTCCCCCATTCACACAAGCAAGGCGTTCCTCCGTTTATCCGCCACCAAGCTCTTGTGGACAGTTGTGCGTACCAGGCCAAGGGCTGGTAGAACATCAGCAAAACCGAATTAACGACAGTTCCTCCGTTTATCCGCCACCAATCTCTTGTTGTTGACAGTTGTGTGTACCAGGCCAAGGGCTCGTAGAACATCAGCAAAACCGAATTAACGACCACCCAATTTCACCCACCCTTTACAATAACGATCCATGACCTATAGCACACGGAGTAAAGGCTACTGGTTAGATGAGGACTCTGGAGACTGGGGTTCAAATCCCCACGTGGTCACTCAGTTCACTCGGTGACCTTGAGCTGCTCAAGCTTCTCACCACCTGGTTGATGTCAGCAGGTTGTTGTGAAAATAAAGTCGGAGGAGGAGAACCGAAGATGCTTTGCCTGAGCTCACAAGAGGAAAGATGGGATAGAAATGCAGGAAATGAAATAAAACATATGAGCGTAACAGCCCAGCATGGATCTTGTTTACTGGGTGTTGCATATAGACCACCCCTGATATCTGATCAGTTCTCTCTTTTGGCCCTACCAGCCTCTACTAGCCTTCCTTCCGATCTTAGCTTGTTCTCTACTTCTTTAAACTCCTTATCGGTGGATTAAATTGAGCTCCCAGCAAAATAAAGGGCTGATCCCTCAGGTACCCGGAGCTCAGCTCTTGATACTCTTTCAGACGGACTTCTATATCAGCTGTCTTCAGCGGGAACTGCACGGCACATACCAACAGCCTGTCCTCTCCAAGACTCAGGAGCCGGGGTTCATGGCTGTCCAGGTGTACCCCAAACAGAATCGTGCGGATGGGCTTGTAGTGGGCGTGAAGCGCCGCCAGCCTCTCCCAGACTTTCCGTCTCTCTACGAGGATTTGCTTGTAAAGGTTCACTGAAATGTTTTCATCCTGGAAGGCGGAATTAAAAACAAAGAGGATTCGGGAATCTATACGTTTCTTTCTTTGTTGTGTTGTGCTAGAACTGGGAAATCGAGAAGCTCGGATCTGGAGCTTACAGCCTGTTTTGTAACACTCGGTCAATCCCATTCTCTCGCCTTAAACTTATTTCACAGGACTATTGCAAGAATATACTCAGGATAGACCCTTACATGACTTTTGGGCCACTGTGCAGGGTTATAAATGAAACATACAGCAGGACCGTTGTATCCATGGGAAATCGGTTCGAAGCTCCGTCCACATGGATGCTGTAAAACACAGTAGTATGCTATACATTGCAAGGTCTCTGGTTCCCTCTAATGGCTAGTTCTTGTCAATATATATTGGAAATACATATAAATCTGTATTTCTGGGTTTTTTTATTTAAACTTTTCAGACAGCAGATAAGTGAACTAGCGGATGCTGGTCCTGTGGATACGGGAGGGCCCTATTGTATATATAAAGGACTATGGATTTTTTGCAAATGGGCTCCCTTTGATCTCTGTTTGTCCCATGCAGAATGATACGAAATGCTGAGACTACCCAGTACCCCCAACCCCAAAGAACTCCCCTGAAACATTTATGACGAAAAACTGGAAGACGGTGAGGATACCTACTGCCGTGGCAAGATACTGGGAGTTGTGTGAGAAGCTCATCAAGGTGATGGGTCCTCTTGAGTAATCAAAAGGTTCTGTGCACTCTTCTTCCAAAGAGATGGAATCAAGGATGCGAAGGGTTCCATCCGTGAAGCCGACCGCCAGTAAGGAGCCTTAAAAACACAATCGGCAATGGCTGTTCCACAAACCAATCATTTCAGCGAGAGCAGATCATTTAAGGGCGCTTCCATCATCAGGCCTGCCGGGGTATTACTTTTACAAAATTAGTCTTATGCAAAAGGAAAACTGTAGTTCCATGCTGCTTTTTTTTTTAAGATAGCATTATATAGGGTAATTCTGACCTTGTCAAAGAAAGTCTCCGTAGAGAAAAGACTCATTAGGGTTCATTGGCCACACTGAACAGGAAACAATGACAGGCAGAGGGGACAAGCTTAGGAAGCTTCTGATTAAAGGCACAGTAGCTCTTGTGGGGGAAAAAATCTCAGTGGCCCTTTACTAGTCAGGTGGGTGCCGCAGTGCCACGTTAAATGCTTTCTAAAAATATATGTATCATAAGACTCATAAGAAGTTACCAATATTGCTAAGAGATACCCAGTTCTACAGGCCCGGAAGGATGTTGCTGGTTGAATAGACCACTGGTTCTTAACCTTGGGTTACTCAGGAGTTTTGGACTGCAACTCCCAGAAGCCTTCACCACCAGCTGTGCTGGCTGGGGTTTCTGGGAGTTGCAGTTCAAAAACATCCGAGTAACAAAGGTTAAGAACCACTGGGATAGACCCCTCTGTGGGGATGTTGCTCAGACATCAATCCATGCTTCCTCTAGTCCGGTAGACAGTTTTCACAAAGACTCCGTATCCTTGGAATCCAGATCCCCACTCCCTCCAAAGGAAGCAAACCCTGACCCCCCCCCAAAAAAAGGCAAAAACCTACACCCAGTCCCCTACAGAGGGAACGTCAAGCCATACCGTCATGGTTATAGCAGAGGCTCCGAATACTCTGGCCTTTAAAGATTCTGCTGACGAGGTATTTATTAAGCTTGTAGTTCCATACTTTCAGAAGCCCACAGGAACTCCCTTTAGCCATGAGAGGTTTTCTCGGATGGCAGTCGATGGCATGGACGGCGCCTTTGGGCTCCTCCAGGCACTTGCTGATGGTCATCCCCTCCGTCTTGACGTGGATCACTAACGCATCGGTTGTGGCAAGAATGAAATTCCTGCACCGTAGAGAAGAACCCGAATTATGTATTAGAGAAACCTGGAGCTGGAAGTTCTCCTGTAGGCCTTTCCAAATCCTTGCCCGGCGCTGGGGCTCAAGGTCTAGACTGAATTCAAAAGGGCTTAGCGGAGATCTCCAGCAATTTTGACATTCACTGGACATGGAGGTTCCATTTAATTATTTATGCCCCCAAACTATCCTCGACTTTATTAATTTGCCCTAACAGTTTATGTCCAAATGTTCACCTTTGGAACGTTCACTGTTTCGTGAACAGTTCAATCCTCCACCCCGAACATCAAAGGGCGTCTTTGATGCTCACCTAACCACGAAGGGAAGTCCCGACAAGGTGCAGGAGGTAGGAAATTTTGTGACGTCCTGGGGGCAGGCGGGATTCTTAGAGAAAGAGATGGACCGGATGGCCCCGATTTTAAACTGGCTGTACCAGTGGAGAAGCTGCAGATCGCCATCGTAGAATTTCACATGGCCTTTGACGTCACAAGTCACGAAATTCCTACAAAATGAAACCACCGTTTGTAGGTGTGTGCCTTCCCCCCCCAAGTAGCATGGGCATAACACAAGTAAGTATGTCAAAAACGAAGAATGGACAGCCTATTGTTCTCCAGAGGTTTTGGATTTGACACACAGAGAGACACAAAGAGAGAGAGAGAGAAATCTGACCCAGCATGATTCCAGAAGTGCCAAATGGCTGGAGGGCCTCAAATTTGCCCCACTTTAGAAAAAGTATCAAAAGTTAATAAAAATCTGGGGATTGGGGTAACATCGTATTATGCTGTAATCCTACACACCTACGCCGGAAAGTAAGAACCCTTAAACTGGAAGGGTCTTATTCTTGTGCAGATATTTACAGTGGTGCCTCGCTAGACGATGATAATCCGTTCCACTGAAATCGCTGTTTAGTGAAATCATTATCTAGCGAAAAGCATTTCCCCTTTGGAATGCATTGAACCCTGTTTAATGTGTTCCAATAGGGAAGAATCGTCAATGTCTAGCGAAGATCGGCCATTGGAAAGCCGTTGCAAACCGCCGATCAGCTGTTTAAATCGCTGTCTTGCGAAGCTTAGGTCCCGAAAACACCTGTTTTGCGAGCGCGGAGGGAGCTGTCAAAATCGTCGTCTAGCGAAAATCAGTTTGCGAAGCAGGGACCAAACATTGTCCGGCGAAATTCCCCCATAGGAATCACTATTTTGCGAATCGCTATAGCGATCGCAAAAAGTCAATGTCTAGCGAAAAAACTGTCATGCGGGGTAACTGTCTAGCGAGGCAACACTGTATAAGGCTGCAGTGTTAACTCTAATGTTACAGTAAATATATACTTTTCAGGTCTGGGGGTGTGGCATCAGTGGCAGGAGGCCTTTTTGGTCAAGAGTGTTTTGGTCCAATCTCTTTTTTTTCCTATTAAGGTACTCAGTGGTGCCCTCTGCTGGTGAAAATGGGGAGGCTCGTCTCAAGGTGCCCTCTGCTGGTTAGAACAGGGAAGGACGCCTCCCGGTGTGTGTGTAAACCGGAGGAATAAACTGCACTCACTGGTCCATGACGGCGAGGGCCGTGATGCCGTCTTTCTGCAAGTGGACCAGCTTGACGGCTTTCATGTTGTAAGGCTTCGCCGATGCAGCAGGAGCTCGGGGAGGAGGGCCCACGGGCTCCCAGACCACCAGCTTGCCTTCCATCGTTGCTGTCATCGCTTGGGGGGCGCTGAAGTGGAAGAGGGACTGGCTGAAGCTGCCCACAACCTTGTCGAAGGTCTGGATGGAGAGGAAAGTCAGGAGGGAGAATGAAAAACACACCGAGAGGTCCACAGCATCCCCAGACGGCGAGGAAAAAGGGGCATCTTGCGTATTCCAAAAGGTTTACAAAGGAACGGATATTCTAACGGCAGCCAGATAGCCTTGGGAAAATCCTTTTCGACTATTTATTTATTTAAAATATTGATACGCTGCCTTTCTTCCTGATGGACCTAAGGCGGCCGGCAGCGTTCAAAAGAAACAAGTTAAAAGCCAAAAAAAGAGAAAGAAATTATTATGTGTAAAAAACATTTTTAAAAAGAGACCATATTAAAACTTGTAATAAGAATATTAAAAACACAGGATAAGCTGCTGCCTTAATGGTTCTACAAACAAAAAAAAGTTATAGGATAGTCTTGAACAGGGAACATTTTACGCTGTTACAAATCATTCCACCCACCCTAAAAATGGAACTAAAAGAAATGGAAAAGAAACCACCAGTTCATACATAAAGTAAAATAAGGAGTCTGTTGTTGTTGTTTTTTCAAATTCTAGAGTGAGAAGGCTCTACAGATTACTTTCCAAAGTGGGGAACAAATTACTTCTGAAAAGTAATTCCGAGTGTTGAAAGGGGCCCTCCGCCATACGCTCATTTCCGAGATTGCCTGGGCTATCAGAGCTGCTGGCTCCCACTCCAGAACCTGTCGTCTGAAAAAAAAACTTTTCTATACTCTGTCGATTACTGGAATGTTCATCTGTTTTCACTCACCTTCTCTGTTAGGAGGGGAGCCTGGTAGCGCAAAACACTGGAGTCCTAGAGAGAAACAGAGAAAGGAGTGAAAGACATCGCTTGAACTGGAGTTATAAGGAAGGGATTTGAGTTAATTGGGGGGGGCGGGCAAGGGGGCAGGAGAGGCACCCTCCCCAGCATCTGTCCCATCGGACCGTTGTGTCATCTGCCTAATGGCCGAGCCAGCCCTCCCTTTCTGTCTCTAAAGGCAGCTGAAGCTGAAGGATAACACCGTGAACCATGAACAACTGTTGTGAGTTATAATAAAGTTGTTTGTACGATACAAGCTCAGTTGATCTTTTCACCCAACATCCTTCAGCAACAAATGATTCTTATTTGGCACAATGACACACCCAAGTGTGACAGGAGGGATTTTCATTCCAACATACCCACTTATAGAAGACGACCTGAGTTTCACTGTTGCTCATCAATTCTTGATGGTCTTTAGAGTTAAATACAACATAATCCTGGAGGAAAGAACAAGCCGGATGAAAACAAGGACAAGACGATCATTCAGCTTGAATAATTTGATTCTAGATTGGAAGTCAACAGTATGACAGCACCATCTTGAACAGATCGACTCAGAAGTAAGTTTCCCGAAGCTTAGTCCCTTGGGGAAAAGCTTATCTAATTCAAAAAGATGTACTTAATGGTCATGCACTATTTTTCTCTTACATATTAACTGTTCCGGTGGTTGTCCTCTCCTGCCACCCATGTCCACAAAGTAATAACACCGTGCATGTGTATGTGTGTGTGTGTGTTGCCATCTACATAACCAGCATTTTCATAAAGAATAAACCCAGCCTGTGAAGAACGTTGGATTTTGGATGGTGAGAGGTGGGTTTAAACCCTCAATCACCTCACACAGTGGCTTGAAACATGTCAGAATCTACCCTAGCTCACAAGATAGTTCCGAAGATAACAACAATCCGCTATACACTTGTCTGGAGTGCAGCTATGTGCTGTTTGTGTGTGTGTGTGTGTGTTTTCCATGAAAAAGATGCAGCGCTTTAACAAAAAAAAACTTTTGAAAGAAGGAAACAATAGTCTGTGGAAAAGTGGGTTAGTGACATGACAGGTCCTAACCAATCAGTGCTATGCACAGGTGATTTGGGCAGACGCTGTTTCTGTGTGGTCCCATAGGGAAAAAAATGTACATGCCTGATGGTAACATGAGCATAAAATCTCTCATCCTAAAAACAGCTATGCTCTCCCTGAATAGGTGGCCTGAGAAACTGACCGCCTGTCATTGCATATAAGACTGTTCTTACCTGAAACCCATACTGGGGCAGGATCTCTACACTGCAAACCGGGCTTGTGTCAGGGGAAGTCCACCTCCAAATGCTAATTTTCTGATACCATAAAAAGACACACACACGAAAAAAGAAGAAGTGTTGAGGTTGTATGATCCTTTTCTTGGCTTACCACAATTCTAGATGTTGAGGTTGTGTGACTGCATCCTTTTCTTGGCTTACCACAATTCTAGAGCCCCCACCCCTCAAGGGAGACCATGTTTCCCATAATACACCACTTTGAACTGGCACTTGAGAAAGCCCACTTGGCTTGGAACCTGGATCGCCACTGCTCTCTTTCCAAGATCCAAGGGTAGTCCTTACAAGCCCCTGTTCGGGGGAACCCTAACTCAACCCCACTCCTCTAGATTCATGGGACCAAAACTCACAGTCTCCCCAGCCTACATGGCCCATGTCTATGTTGTCAGGGGACCATGGGAGCTGTAGTCCAACATACTGGGAACACGTCGGCTTGGGGAAGGCTGCTGGAATCCTCGAGCGTTGGTAGCTTCTTATAAAGAAGACGTGAAGGATAGTTTGGGGCTCTGTCCACATGGCTGTTGTCCCTTCGCCCCCCCCCCGTGGTTCTCCGCTCTCAAATTTGAGCCCCCCTTGGCTCAGAGGATTTAGGGTTGTCAATTATAGCTTTACCTGCACTTCCCCAGCTCCGACTGTAGCCAGAAACTTGGAATCACGGGAAATCGCAACGGCGCTGACACCACCTTCTGGGTGACTATCGAAGATTGTGTGCACAGGAACCCTAGACAACAAGACACTCACTGATATTCAGGGTTGGAGCTGGTTAAATTTAACTGATCCTGCACTCTCTAAGGCTTTCACGCTCTGATTAAGACAAACAAACAGTATTTCCTTCTTAAGGGAGCACCGTTTCTAGATACTGAGCCATTGTTTAATCCAGTGAGGCCATGACTCTGTGGCTATCACATTAAATCAATGTCATTTGCCATTTTAAATATTTAAACCAATTGATGGGAGATTCAAATGAATCAGTTTCAACAAATAAGTTCCAAGATCTGATCAGGACTACAACCACCTGCATCCCCAGCCCTTGGCCCATCCTGCATGAGACTCAGCGAGTGGAGAGAGCCAGTCTTGTTGCACAGTACCCATCATCTCTAAAGCTTACGCAGAGTAGCTGTCCCAAACGATCACCAGGCTGTCCGGGCCCCGGTCAGCTGTCACGACCCAGCGCCGGTCATCGCTTACACAGATGCAGGAGATACAACTTGAATGTCCCTGGGAAAAGAACAAGGGAAGATCACGCTCCGGGTGAGTCTATATGACTTAAAACAAAGCTTAGGTGACATCTGGACTAGGACGATGTGTGTGAATTCTGCTTGTGTTGCGATTCACGGTGCAGGCAGCTGAACCGTTCCCGAGCTTGCCCAAGTGAGTCAGAAACTATTCAACCCTTTGCATAACGGATGTGTTCTTATTGTTTCAGAACTCAGTGTGTGCAGATGACTGGAGACCTTGAACCATTATAGCATCCAGCTGTGCTATTCCTTGACACCAGTGACTTTATTTCTTCTGTTATGATCGAAAGCGGGCTGAATAGCTCGGTGGTTTAAGCATCTGGCTGCGCAGGAAGAAGCTGGGAGTTTGATTCCTCCACTGGGCCTCCTTGGGGGGAAAAAGGCCAGCCTGGGTAGCCTTGGGCCAGCTGCACACAGTCCCAGGGATCCCACCCAGAAGAAGGGTGTGGGAAACCACTTCTATGTATTCTCTACCCAGAAAACCCAAAAAAGGGTTACCCTAAGCCATAATTGACTTGATGACCCACAATGATTATTATTATTATAATTCAAAACTGTGGCAGATGGGGGGCGTATTCTCTACCCAGAAACTCCCCCAAAGGGTTACCCTAAGCCAGAATTGACTTGATGACCCACAATGATTATTATTATTATAATTCAAAACTGTGGCAGATGGGGGGGGTCTGGATGACTCAAGGCTCCGATTAAAACAATGCCCTGCCCCCTGTATTCTACAAGGCTTCCATGTATTATTTTTTGACGGAAGATGATTTCCATGGTTCAGAAGGAGAAAGGGGCTCTCTAGTACAGACCCAGATTTCAGTCGTACCTGGAGGAGATACTGCCTGTTCCTGAGGATGTCATGGATCACAGCCGTGTGACCAGAAACGTACAGGATCACTCTGAAGTCCTCGTCCAGCAGGTTGAAAACAGGGAGCTTGCTGTTGTAGCCGAAGACCCAACACAAACTCTAAGAAAGAAAGAAAGAAAGAAAGAAAGAAAGAAAGAAAGAAAGAAAGAAAGAAAGAAAGAAAGAAAGAAAGAAAGAAAGAAAGAAAGAAAAGCTTATTTTTACTAATGTCCATCATTTCATCAAAATAAATAAATAACAGTTATCATGATCTTAAATTTAAAAATAATAATAAAATCATTATTATTTTTTTAAGTCCTCGTAGGTTGAAAACAGGGAGCTTGCTGTTGTACCCAAAAACCCAACACAAACTCTAAGAAAGCAAGCAAGCAAGCAAAGCTTGTTTTTAGGAACGTCCATCGTTTCATCAAAATAAATAAATAAAAGTTATCATGATCTTAAATTTAAAACAACAGCTAAACACAGTTTTGCTCCAAGGAAAACCTTTTTACTAATGTCCATCATTTCATCAAAATAAATAAATAACAGTTATCATGATCTTAAATTTAAAAATAATAATAAAATCATTATTATTTTTTTACCCCTATATGCTAAACACAGTTTTGCTCCAAGGAAAACCAGCAGAACCTCCACATTGTGTGCAATAAAATAAAATGTCTGTCTTTTGTGTGTGTGTGTGACTCCAGTGTCAGTCCTACATGCACTTGAACCGGAGGGAGGGATGCGAGTTGCACTGCAGTCAAACAGGGCTAACTTCTGAGTAGACTCAGGCAGGCTCGTCCTGTTCTCTTGTTTTGTCTCAAGCTATAGGAAGGGGACGCAGATCGCAACTATCACAAAGTTTCAGCATTTGCACCCTACAATGGACTGACAAAAAGTCTCGTAGTCATCAAATGTGTTAATGAATTGCAATCTAATTATTCCTACAAGAATAATGAAGGCTTCTATAGGAAACTCCCAGCTCCAGTCACTAAGTTACAATGGTCCTTCTTTAGAGAAGGGGCCTGGTGGATCAGGTCCATGGTCCAGCTTCCCTCTGGGAAGAGCCCAGTGTATCATCCATTGCCAAAAAAAAAAAAAACCTTTGAATTCTGTGGAACCGCTTTCACAAGGTCCCAACAACTATGGATTACAACTAAGTAGCGTAACGACGGGAGTTGCAGCTCACGCGGGAGGCGAGAGGTGCCTTCTCTGGAACTGCAACTCCCAGAATACGGTCCAGCTTCCAGCTTCCCCCTGGGAAGAGCCCAGTATATCATCCATTGCCAAAAAAGAAACCCTTTATTAAATCTGTGTTGCATAATAACATAATGCCCCCTTCCCTGTCGTGAATGTCTTACAAATCACTTTCTCTGGGTGTTTTCATCTCCTTCATTCTAGGTTACAGGAAAAGAAGCAATAATAATCTTTCCTCATTTTTTAACACTATGTATGTAATTCTGTGAAACCTCTTTCACAAGGTCCCAACAACTTTGGATTACAACTAAGTAGCGTAACAATGGGAGTTGCAGCTCATGCGGGAGGCAAGAGGCGCCTTCTCTGGAACTGCAACTCCCAGAATATTCCAGCCAGTTCTGCTGGCCCCCAATATTTTGGGAAGCGCAGTCTGACGAAGGAAAACTTTCCACTTCCGGCGGCTCAACCACGCTAGAAGAGAACAGGCTGGAGAAGGCTGGTGTCTTGGACCCTCTCATTATTATTTTTTTACCCCTATATGCATATATTTAAACAAGACTCACAAGAGGGTGTTCAGAAAGCGGCCTGTCCTCCTCTTCAAAGATCATTCCCGGCAGAGCAGAAGACACCACCGACTCCGATTCCTCCTCCTCAGCGGGAGTCGTACTGCTGAGGGCAGCTTCACTTTTGGAGAGACTTCTTCCTCCTCGGCTTGTTTTCCCAGCCGTTTCTCGACTGGATCGTTCGTCCTCGCTAAGTGGTTCTTGGCTCCGGAGGGCTACCGCTTGCCTTTCTCCACCATGGACAACCTCCTCAATCGGACGACTCAGACCTCCTTCGCCGGTGGTGCTCGGAGCTCGCAAAGAAGCAAGCTCACCTTGGCTTCTTCCCTCGTGCTCTTGGTGTTTGAGACAACGGGCTTCCTCTGCCGAGGCCGTCATCATTCCTGGTCCTGGAGATCGGCTCTTTTCTTGGGCTTCTCCCGGTTCCGTTGGGTCTCTTTCTTCAGCCTCTTTGGGCTTGTGATCCTTCTCTTTGCTCGCTTTTTCTCCAGGCGCCTCCCCTTCGGTCATTCCTCCGTCGGACGGTGCTTCATGCAGCTTCTCGGCTGATGCCTTGCCATCTTGAGGTGGGGCCGTGGCTTCTCCCTCCTCTTTCGCAGTTTCCTTAAGAACAAAACCAAAAAGCTTTGGCTGAGCTGTGATGTTTCACTTTTCAGTTGACAATTCCCAGCTTGCCTCATTTCCGAGGATTTCATTCAAGCAATTCCAAACGCTTCCAGGCCGATCAATGCATGTACGTGAAACGGAAACACACTCGAATACCATTTATCAGCATCATTTACCACTAGCATCTTTTGAAAGTGAAAGCAGAGATTTCTAGGTTGCTGTATTCTGTGCCCAATCACAGAACATACTGGCTTATGTTTTGGACAACAGAGACTCATCTACAGTGGGGTCTCTACTTAAGAACTTAATCCGTATTGGAAGGTGGTTCTCAAGTTGAAAAGTTCTTATGTTGAATCTGCATTTCCCATAGGAATGCATTGAAAACCATTTAATCCGTATCTGCTCTTTTCCGTCCATAGAAACTACTGTACTGAATACTAAACAAGGCCAGACCTGCCATTAGACACGGTAAGGTAGCTGTTACTTCTGGTGGTAAACACTAAGGAGATTGCAGGGCAGCTGTGATGTCTTGAGGAGCCTGCCTCGAGTTCTCCACACTAGTTGGCCGCCTTTATGTGCGGTCCCCTCAACTATGGTTGTTGAAGTATGACTCGTAATTCTGGCCAACTTTTCTACGTTCCATGGATGAAGCGCCATTTTTGTCTCTCAATGGAGGTCACAAAATATCTTGGCTTGCCCCGGACTAGTGAACTAAGGGACGAATTCCTTGCTCCAATCCTTACCTTGGTGGATGAATCAACGTCAGTAGCCTCTTTAGAAGGTTCTGGAAGGCTTAGCGAGGTGCTCGTTTCAGTCTCCTGCACGGTTTCCTCTGGACCCTCTCCACCTCGAGTTGCTTCTGAGGGCTCGGTGGAATAGTGGGCCCCTTCGTCTGGCAGGTCTGTCCCCTCGAGAGTCACTTTCCCGGCCGGCTCTTCAGCCTCAGCTCCATCTTCTGATGCTTGCGTCCCCTCCACAGGTTGAGCCGCATCGCTGTCTTCCTCCATCCTCTCTCAGGAGATGTGTTCGAGGTATGACAGGTACCTCTGGAGCTGAGAAATAAAGTTTAAATCAAGTTACTCGGAAGACAAGTGGGTGAGGATGATGGAGTTTGTAGTGCAAAAATACACTGGGTTACAGAAACCTACCTTAGATATTGCTTCTGCCACCACTATGTTCAAGCTTACTATACTTCTTTCCTCAACGGCCAATTTTACTACGAAAGGAGGCAGACCACCTCGTTTGGATACAGGCCTCAGGCTGGCATATCCCGCATCTCCACTTAAAAAAATCAAAACGAAACAAAAAAAACAGGCATTGGACAAATAACAGTCATTTGTAGCTTTATCTTTGCGCTAGCATGACGTAAGAAAAACAGAAACCTTCTGGGAATTCTGTATTTTCTGTCTGCTCCCACTCTTGATTGGTTAACATATAACCACAGCCCTCCCATAGCTTTTCATTTTAAAAGAAGTAACTGCGTTAGTCCGTGGCTAGCATATCAGGCAAAAAAACAGAAGAAAAATAAAAATAAAAAATAAAGGAGACAGAAACCATGATGGCCTCCTTCAAATCTAACGTCTCTGTTTTAATGTGAGCTTTCACGGCTAAGTGTCTGAGGAAGTGGACTGTTGTCCATGAAAGCTCAGCCAGTTTCACCATGTTTTTGTCTTCTTTTTTTATTTTTATTTGGTTTTCACCATGTTTTTGTTTTCTTTTTTTATTTTTATTATTATTATTTTGCCATATAATCGCAGGGGAGGGGGAAGACATACCTTTCAGGCCCCTAAAAGCAGAGGGACCGTTGATGGGCGCAATATTGTGCGAAGCCACAAACAGGCCAAGATGCCAAAAGAGGTGATTTTTTAAAAAATCATTAAAACAGAATTTTAATGATTCTTACCTGAAAGGGGAAGGGCTGGTTCGCTCTCTGTGCCTGCAACGTTCTGGCCGAGTGCCGCTTGCTGTGGATGATGGGCTTTTAAAAAAATCTCCAGCCCTCTGATCTCCCTCCTGTTAGATCCCATTGCAGAGGACCGTCCTTCCCCAAAAAAGGCCACCCGGGCCCCTTGTGTTCTTGGGATCTTCCTTCTTCCCCCAAAGTACCCGACTCCCATTATCCCCCGGCCACCTTCCCCAAACTCACCTGCCATTCAGTGGCCTCAACGGCAAACCACCACCGAGGCGCCTGGAGACGGTTTGCATGGGATTCTTGTTGCCGTAGCAACCGCCAGCATCCGGGGAAACAAGCAGGCTGCAAGCCAGCCGGCAGAGAAACCCACACCGTGGTGCCAGGGCTTCACAATGAGCACAACGTTGTGCATGGGGAGGTGTGGGTGTGGGGGGAAGAAATTACATATATTTCTGCCCCTCGTCCCAGAAGTGAAACCGAGCAATGTTGGCCCCTGAGGGACCCCAGCTGGGGTCCAAAGCGGAAAGTTATACTGCCAGCCGAGATTTTTAAAAACCCACAATACGTCCCACCGCGCATAATATATTGAAAAAGGAACCACTTTTTTAAAAAAAAATGATTCAAACTCAGCTCCTCAAGGCCCCGGCCGTGGGTCTAACAGGAGGGCCGGCTCTCCGAAGTCCACAGATCTGAAAATACCCCATTGCTACAATGGCAATGCTTTTAATTCAGCCTGCCACGTGGGATTAAAAATCTGAGCAAGATTTTGAGACCTCCAGGTCTTTTCGTTAAACTTAAAAAAAAAGTTTTAAAACATCAAGGAGTCAAAGAGCAGGTCCGTGCGAAAAACTGCCTCCGGGGATGGAGGAACACTTAGAATTAAAGAACGTGTAAGGCAGGGAAGATGTATAGCAAAGGGAAAACAAATGGAAAAATCACAGTACTCGTGGGGGTCTTAAAAGACCACCAGATTCAATGCAAGCTCCTGTGGATCACGATCCACTTCCAGAGGCAAGGGGAATTAACGGTAAGTATTTAACCACAGGTTTATACATTTGTAGGAGCAGGGCCTCAGTGAAGAGGGACGGAAAATGACATTTCAAAGTGGCCGCCACATTATTAACCCACGTAATAAATTCTGGGAGTGTTGATTACACAAATCTCTTGGCCTCTTGCTAGAAAGATTAAATGTGTAGCAGGCAAGTGTGTCGTTGCCTCCAAGGTGCAAAGAAGTTGTTGCAGGAGACGGATTGCTGTTACTCCTGAATTAATTTCCAATTTCGATCAACGAGAAAAGACACCTATCTCAGCTTAGCAACGTCTCACGTTTCCTCGGCATTTTGTGCCCAAAGATGAATGTGGGAATCCTTCCACTCAAATATCCCTCCTTGATTTTCCGGAAAGCCTTCCGTCATTGAGCAAGCCAACCAAGAAGAGCAAAAATTGCTTTTTGCCGACGCCATTTTAAAACCGCCGTGAGCCAAAAAACCTTTGTGAACGACTGCAAACCACATACTGCACAGCCCGATCTGCTTTTTGCACACCTCTCTAAAATCATTGACCACCTGATCCTATTATTTCTTTTGGATATACACAAGGCCTAAATATCTCTGTTGACCAAGCTGGACTACTCTCTGGCGACATGAAGATTCATTCAATTTACACATGCTTTCTTCTTCCCTCCCCAGTCCTTTTACATTTCATGTCATCTTTATTGGAGTTCAAAACGAAGCAGGGCAAAGGCTAATAGAGTTTTGTCAAGAGAACAAGGTGGCCATCACAAACATTCCTGGCGAATAGAAGGGGAAGATATGGAGGCAGTGACAGATTTTCCTTTCTTGGTCTCCATGATCACTGCAGATGGTGACAGCAGCCACGAAATTAAAAGACGCCTGCTTCTTGGGAGGAAAGCGATGACAAACTTCAACAGAATCTTAAAAAGCAGAGACATCACCTTGCCGACAAAGGTCCGCATAGGCAAAGCTATGGTTTTTCCAGTAGCGATGTATGGAAGTGAGAGCTGGACCATAAAGAAGGCTGATCGCCAAAGAATTGATGCTTTCAAATTGTGGTGCTGGAGGAGGCTCTTGAGAGTCCCTTGGACTGCAAGGAGAACAAACCTATCCATTCTGCAGGAAATCAACCCTGAGTGCTCACTGGAAGGACAGATCCTGAAGCTTAGGCTCCAATACTTTGGCCATCTGATGAGAAGAGAAGACTCCCTGGAAAAGACCCTGATGTTGGGAAAGGGTGAAGGCAAGAGGAGAAGGGGACGACGGAGGACGAGATGGCTGGACAGGGTCATCAAAGCGACCAACATGACTTTGACCCAACTCCGGGAGGCCATGGAAGACAGGAGGGCCTGGCATGCTCTGGTCCACGGGGTCACAAAGAGTCGGACACGACTTGACTAAACAACAACAACAACTTCCAAAGAGACATGCTGAATTGTGCCACTAAGTCATCAAACTGAACACATACACACATTTTAGAAAAGGTTAAGATTTATTCAAAATGACTTTATGATGACAATTCAGTAGACCCTCTGCTAGTCTTCTTGAACCCACCGGATGTATGACCATGAAAAAGTGCCCACAGTTCAGGGGAAAAGAAACAAGAATATCTGTGCATGCTAGCGCAAACCTTTACTCTCTATTTTTTTTTAAAAAGGGGGGGGGATTAAAAGGAAGTTAGAGAATATCCTTCAAATCCACAAAATAAAGCCACACACCTTGCTTTTTGCCTTTTAAAAATTTTACTGGGGGCAAATGACACAAGCGCAGGGTAAGCCCTATGATACGAATTCACACTTTTAAGATGTGGCAGTATAAACGCCCTTGGCCGTGGGTCTCGATGCCACCAGTTTTGCATCTGGCACTCCAAACATCTTCAGGCCAAAAAGCTGCCTTGGGACCGAAACAGCGCCGTGTCGTTGGGAGCTCTGTCACAGGGCAATCATCTCTGCAGAGGGAGGATGTTGCAACTGGAGACAGTGGGAAGAAGAGGGAGAGAAAGATGACGCTAACTGTAATTAGGATATTGGATTTATACCCTATGATTTATGGAATTAAAAGGCAGCCAACATAATGCAACGCATGAGATCAATTCAGGGGCATGTTCTTGACTTGAAGCCCCAAATGACTGAAGACTGGAGTCTCTTGAATAAAAGTCTCCCCCACCCAGAAAACCTCACGGAAAGTGGCAACCCACATCTCTACGGCACAGGAAACACAGCTTTGGAAAAGCAAGAATTTTCAGCAGCTCTGTGTTCAGGACTGCGAAGATGGGAGTCAAGGAGACCCCCTTATTAAAGCAACATCTAACTGTTTTGTTCCCTTGAGGAGAATAGATTAGACTTTGCTGTTTCTTTGTTTGTTTCATTTTTATACCGCCCGTCTGGCCAAAGGCCATTCAGGGCAGTTTACAACAACAAAAACACAGTAAACATGGCTAAAACACAACCAAATTAAAAACAAAATAGTAAAATAAACAACATGATTAAAATAACATTGACATGGATAGGCAATTAACAGATCTGTCCCCAAATTTTTGGGAATCCTTACCCCAGAAGCCCTTTGCCACTCCAGCGTTTTGGTGTGAGCCCCAGGTGTACTCTCTCTCCTCCCCGGATCACGGTCACACTTAATGGCTTCTGGAAGCAGGGAGAGAAATATTACAGCACATCTGGAGTCCTTACTGCCTCCCCAAGTTCAATTTCTCCACCAACTCAGAAAAGGACAGAAAAGAGAGATACCTGAACTCACCAGGATGAAAAAAATTACCCTCAAAATATGTTAAAAATAAATTAAATGACCCAATGAATTAGGCGGCAGCAGAACAGAAAGCTAAAGGAGAGCATCAGCTACCCCCACGACATTTAAAGTCGGGGTGGACAAGCGGTGACTCCTTACCTCTTCACTGTGCTGGACCACGGTGGCAATATCCTGCAGCGACCGGAAGTTGCGAGCGTTCACGGAACCAAACTCCACGATCTCGTCACCCACCTGCAACCCCTTTAGAGATAATCAGAATTCGGATTCAGTGGGTGGTTTGACTCTGAGAGGCCGGTCAGCCACAGGTGCCCTGGCACCACAACAGTCCACGTTGAAAACCCATCTCATTTCCGAGGGGGGCAAAAGGGCAAAGGGAGTCAGTACTTGCCGAGAGGCTGGCCGGGGAGCCCGGAGTGACGGCGTTCACCCTGGCAAAAGGCAGTGGCAAGGGCTGGCTCTGGCCCTGGGCTTCCGCCCGTGCTTCGGCCTCATCCCTCTCGCGCTTCTCCTTGTCTCGCGCATGAAGCTGGTGGAGGGCTTCTTCCACTTGACGCATCAACGCCTTGTGGTCGTTCTGCAAACCTAAAAGCAAAAAGCACAGCCACCAGGCGGTGTTAAGCGCGGGCGTCGCCGCTTGCCCACGCTTGCTTGAAAAAGATCTGTAATATTGCTCTTTGGCCCGGTAAACATTCCAGCCCAATTTATATGTAGGACCACAATCACATTCCATTTAAAACCCTGGGCAGTATTTCAAAGCAGCAAACCAACAACAACCAAAAAAAATAATAATAAAAAAAATAAAAAAAAAACTCCAAAATGTCTAAGATCAGGCAAGCCTGTATGATCTCCTCTAGCTTTTCCAAAAAAGCATAACTTTTATTACGCCACTAACTGTGAAGAAGGGGAAAGAAACAGGGCGGAGGCTGAAGCCCCAACCAAATCGACATCGCTCCTTCTGGATTCCAGGTTTTACCCAGACACGTCTCACACTTCAGGGAAGCTCTTCTTAAGGACTAGAAGCATGATTCATTATCCAAGCATAAAAGGCACTGCATTTCTCAGCACAGAATATTGTGCTTTTCTACTTTTTTCCCTGCACTTGTACAGAATCATAATATTCTTGCTAGTTGCTGGTCCCAGGTTTCTTTAAGGAAGATTATACATCATTTGAAATTGATGAGCAAGGGAAAACTTTGATACACTGCTAGATCCTTCTGTTCTTCTCGTCCTGTCCTCCAAACCAAGAAAATTTTAATTAATTTAAGTTAAATGATACTAAGGTTGTAATTACATACACACTTAGCCCAGAGTAAGACCTCAATGAACACAGTAAACACGGAGTTCGAGATGAATTGACTGGACAATGAAAATCCATGAAATTAAGGGTGGTCTGCTTACAGACAATGTTGTGTCTTGCTGTCCGGACCTGATACAGATCAACATCAGCACGTGGATATCCTTCAACATCCACTAAAGGTTCGTTCATCCCAACACCTTTTTGCTGCAAGGTAAAAACAGAGGAGCACAACCTTATTTTGAGATCCCCCCCAAAGAAAAAAGAAATAAAAAGGAAGAGCTTTTTTTGAAACAGGTGCCTGAATACTTTATTCATTGACAATGCAAACCTAAATCCAACTGCTGGGATCACCTCCTCATTTCAATGTGCACAGGATTCCGATAGATAAAGAGCTAATTTAATGTTTTTGATTTCCCTTCAGCAAGAAAAACAAATAACCCAAATCTGTGCCTTGTTTCCTAGGATCAAACTGGAAGGCTACAGTTCCTGTAGAGGTCTGAAGTCCCAGGAAAAAAAATGGAAGAATTAAGGAAAAATCATCATTTGGGAGGCTGGGGGAGGGAAGAGAAAGAGGGGCAGGTTTTTCCCAATTTTTCTTCCAGGTCTTCACATCTCTACCGACTTGCACTGGGCGAGTCACACTGCTTGACAGGATTTATTTCTAACCAAAGAGGTATTACGATGGGACTCTGTTCTAACCCAGAGGACTGCACTTGTCGATCTAGCACAAAGTCTGGTTTTTAGAAAAAGGCAAGACACTGCAAATAAAAATAACTCAATCAAGATTTAAAATACACTTCATTCACAATGAAAAGGGCTTTTAAAAAAAACTGGAAAGGAGAGAGGAAAAAGAAAACGTGTGTGTAGTCGCTGCTAAAACCAAGCCAGTTAATGTTGCAAGAGTAAAATCCTGAAAATGTGTAAAGCCACAGCAATTCTGAGGTGGATGATAACCACCATCATCAGAAGTGGTTTTGTAAGCATGATGGCCTTTGTAGTGGAATAAATACAAATGGCTGTGGGATTCTGGGAGTTATATTCCCCTCCCCCCAATAAACTCTATTTCCAAGGTCTGGATAGATTTAGGGCAGTGGTCCCCAACCTTGGGCCTCCAGATGTTCTTGGACTTCAACTCCCAGAAATCCTGGCCAACAGAGGTGGTTGTGAAGGCTTCTGGGAGTTGTAGTCCAAGAAGACCTGGAGGCCCAAGTTTGAGGACCACTGATTTAGGGGATCCCAGATTAGGCTTCTGGATCCAAATCCACTGGATCTTTACACACACACCCCAATGGGGTCCTGCAGCAACTACCCTTGCTAAATTACTAACTAAATTACTAAAAAATTACGAGCAACTGACATCCTCCAGGACTTCATAATAGGCTTTGATCTGGGCTTCAATCTCATCCTTCTTCTTCAGCAGCAACTGCACGTCGCTTACAGTCACCGCTTTAGGGCCAGGATCCTGCACCGACATCCCTGAAGCACCAGCAACTGGGAAAAGGAAAGAAAAACAGGTCTTATTTATGCCAATCCACACACACACACCCCACACCAACAGCAGCTACGGCATCCCGGCGGATCCAAAACAGCTCCGTCACTGCGGAGAGGAGCGGCCCCGCCTGTCGTGCCCTGGGAGGAGAAGTCGGAGCTGATTGGTCGAGGCGCGGCTAATAGGAAAATAAGGAGGCGTGGCTAAGCGCCCCCGAGGGCGGAGCGATTTCTCTTTTCCTATTGGACACGTCGCGTCGAGCTGAGAAGGGGATTGTTTCTGGGCTGGTGGGCGTTGCGCACGCGCGCCGTACTCACGTGAAGGCTTTTGCACGTGGGTATGTGCCTCGACACGGACACGGAAGTATAAACTAGTATCTCGCCTGATTTTTTTTTTAAAAAGTAATACTGCCGACGGATGATGGGGTTTGTAGTCTGGAGGAGGGCACAGGATTGGGGGAAATACGGTGTCACGTGTCTTCTCGTATGGTAGCTTCAGACCAGTCTTGGCCAGGCTGCAGGAGAGCCAGTTGTGTTCGAGATCGAGGTTAACCCCTAGCCAGTGTCATGACTGAAATAAAAAATAATACATTCAATGGACTGGAACCCAGATCTCCCGCCTCCCAGCCCTGCTGCTGGAGAGGGTTAAGTGGAGAATCCAGATGGGTGCCAAGTCTCTCCAGCAGAAGTGATGCAGCTGCGGGCTGGTGCCAACTCCTGGCAGTCATCAAGATGCCCCCCCTCGTAGCTCTGATGAAGACAGAAAACACTTCTTTAGAAGGGGGGGTGCATTTAAAAATTGCAAAGTAGCAGTGTAACCCCCATCTTAGAAATGAAAATAAAATAATAATTTTAAAAAACACAAGCCAGACCATGAGGGGTTCTTCCCCCCCCCTTTGGAAGCCGAGCTGGCCCCTCCGGCAACCTGCCTCTTAAATGCTGCACTTGACGGCTCCAGTATGAATGGCATAAGTTACGGGGGCCCAGATTCTGCCGGGTTCTGGTGCCAGGGAAGCCTTCGTGCCTCCTCGGAAAACCAGAGCTGCTCTTGAGACCCTCTGGAACGTGGGCTGATCCATCCCAGAGCATCCCAAACTCCACTCCTTCCGATTTAAATCAGTTTCCACATGCTTGAGTTTGGGCAGGAAACTTCCCTCCCCCATGGCTTCCCCTGGATACTTTAAAAATCCTCACTTCACCCTTGACTGTCGGATGATCGGAGTTTATGATGATTCTTGCTATTGCTAACTGTGGTAACAAATATTGAGGTGAAGGGTTCAAACCGGAGAGGCCTCCAAAGGAGAACGGTTTGTCCTAAAATAAAGGACAATCCTTGATTGCGCCTCTCTTGGATTGGATAAAGGATTGTTTTGTTTTCTCTCTCATGACACGAAGTTAGGATTTCTGGATGCCCGCAAAGGAGGCTGAACGGAGGAGAGTTTGACGAAGGAGCGGCCTCGAGGAAGGTATCGAGGGCAGAACGTTGGCCTCCATTCGCTTTTGACAGAAGCGTTGATAATAGCAAGATGAAGACTGTCGGAATTACTTAAAATTCACCCCCCCCAAAAAAAAATGGCCAGGTTGGTTGAGAGATTCTGGGAGTTTGGGGTCCGAAAGGGAACTTTTGCAACTGCTTGATGAGTCTGGTTACTCTTTACATCAGGGGTGGGCAAAGTGCAGCCTTCCGACCTCTCTCTCTCTCTCTCTCTCACACACACACAACTCTCTCTCACACACACACACACACACACATAGATCCTGCGGCCATCAACTTGGAGATCCTGCTTCCCCACATTTTAATTTTGTTTAAAAATTGCCAATTCTTATAAAGAAGTATGTCGTTTTGCGGGGGAGAGGCGTCAGTCCAAGGAAATGCAGTCCTTCAGACTGTTATAAAGGGTGACTGATTTAATTAAGAGCTTGAGAAGGATCAAAGGGTGGACCCGCGTGGTCTCAAGAGCTTTAGAAGTTGCCCTGCTTTCCCACAACTTTTCCAGGTAAACCGCTTAATGAATGAACCGAGGCCGAAGGCTAGTGGCCGACTTGAGAGCCGGCTTGCTATACTGGATACAGCAAGAAACCCTTTGAACATCTCGTGTACCTCAAAAACCTTCACATGCTTAAATAAAAATGCTGAAGAAGACCGTAAGTCGAAGAACATAGTGGTTGGGGGATTTGAAGACATCAGGGAAAGAGGAAGGCCGAATGTGAGTCGGTCTGACTCAGTAAAGGAAGCCATGGTCTCCGATATGCAGGATCTGAGCAGGGCTGTTTAAATGATCAGACATTTACGAGGTCACAAACGAAGGCCAGTTACCAAAGTCACAACGGAGGTGTGAATTGCACGACTAACTTTCCAGATCTGACATAACCAACGATAATGCCAGCGAATCTGTACTTCTGTTTTATCACACGTGAGGGCGGTGGAGAGAAAGCCAAGGTATCTTTTGGGTTAAAGTGTTCAAAATTTCCATCTGGGAGAGGAGGAGACCGGGAGGAGCTTTCCCGCTTTATTGGCTGTATTAAAAAGATTTCAGTCCTGTCCAGGCTCTCTTTCTCCCTTGGTGTGATCACCTTTGCTCCCACAGGAAACGAAAATGGTGAGCCATGCGACGTCTTAATTTATTTCTTTTCTAGGGCGGGAAAAAAAAATCCTGCGGCCATCAACTTGGACCTGTTTCCTCCTTAATTTTTTTTTAAAAGCTTATTTTTCAGATTTGGTCTGTCTTACTTTCCAAACTGTTCATGTTGTTTATCATTGCATGATAACGTTTGAAATTACCAATCAATTTGGGGAGTTGTGATGCTGCTAAGACTTAATTTGCACGGCCAGCCAAATAGAAGTTTCCATTTTTATTTTCCTTTATTGCGTGCCTTTAGTATTGCCAGTGCTGTGTGACACATTGTTTAAAATGCTCAGCTGACTGTAATTTTACTGGGTTCTCCCCCTTGGAGAAGTGCAAAGAGCCACTAACATTTTAATTTTCTTCTCTTTTGATCTTTATTGCTAGACGACATACACAGATAAAGGAGAGAAGGTAAGCGCAAAATGCAGTCGCTTTTCTTTTTTCCGCTGTAGAAAAATTGTGTCTGTTGATGGTGTGCCATTAGGTAAAAGAGACAATGTAGTGGTCTACTAGCATACTAGCAACCTTTATAATTTTGCAAGAGTTTGTCTTCTAAATGTAATAAGAAACGTACATTTATTTCCGAATTGACCACATGTAGTAACTCAGACAGGAGTGAATGACTGCACCTAATATGTAAACTTCGGTCTAGATGGGTGGGGTATACATTTAATAAATAAATAAATAAAATAATTGCAAATGTCATGTTTAGGCTTTACAGTTTTGGGATTTTTGTGAAAAGCGTATTAGAGAGCCATGTGAGATGTCATAATATACGAAGGTTAGAACGTGATGTTACTATTACGCTGAGTTTCATAATCATGGTGTGAAGAAATGTGCATTGCCATTGTTGAACTGCAATGGGGCTCATGACTAGGGTTCTGCGTTCAGATTCTGAAGCTACCGTGAAACCATCCCCAGATTCCGTTGACATCAATGGGACCTTAGAAATAAGATGATTATCTCAACACAGAACTGGATTGTGTCCATGTTCCATATGAACCAGGTTGAGATGCTGACCCTTTGAAACCAGTGGAAATTGCCTCCGAATGATAGCCCCTTTGAAGAGATAGCAAGTAACTAGTATTACAAGACAAAAAAAAAAGTGGGGGAAAGGGAGTCTGGCTTCAAAACCCTGTTTAAGGGGATGACGCAGATCAACTCTGATCACGCGTATACAGTCTTCAGCCCATCACTCCCTACATGGAGTTAGGTCAATATTTTCCGGGAGACTTACATAATAGTTAAAGTGACAAGGTTATCAGACGCCTTTGAATCTAAGCCCTAACGATGATCAGCAATGGGGAAGCGGTCAAATAAATATATAAAACCCCAATGTTACACTTTTCAGCACTTTGAAAAGTTATTTTGGAGGTGAGAAATTTCAGAGGACGCCTGGCGGTAACCGCTCTTTGCTGACTCCTTCTTCCTTGATCTTGAAAGTGTCTTACAAAAAATGCCAGACAGAAACTAGTGCCATTTTGAGTGAGTGGGAGCTCTGAACCCAAAGCTCTCCTTGGCACGGGTCTTGAGTTCTAATCCTGCTTAGGCCTCTTGGGAGATCCGCAAGTGACGTTTAAGGACTCGGACTGGTTTATAGTTGATCATGGACTCTTTTCTTTTCTTCTTTTTAATGTCTTCCTCAGCCCGAAAAAGGCCGGTTCCTTCACTTCCATTCCTTAACCTTCTGGGTGGGAAATGCGAAACAGGTAAATGTGCCAGGAAGCCCACGGGGGTGTGCGTGAGAGTTGCCAAGAGCTTCGGGGGGGGTTGGCGGTGGGGAGATGGTTGACTTTGGTTTTGTTTGTTAAGGGGAGGGGTGTGTCAGGATTTGTGATCCAGCCCCTCTTGCGATTGGATCCTGTCGAGGGGAGGGGAGCCTGCATTTAATCAGCAGCATGTGCAGCTGGCTGGGGGGGGGAAATCTGCTCCACGCATACCATGTGTGGCCCGGCTGGGAGGAAGGCTGCACACCAGGAATGCTCTTTGGACTTCCAGGCTGATGCAACCCCAGAGCTTCTGCTGATTGTTTGCTGGGAGGCCAGTTAGAGGGTGTACTGGGCAGGGTGGGGAGGCCCAGAAAGAGAGCGTGGGTTGATTCCGAGCCCCATCCCAGCCCTTGAAGCCCAGAACTTGGAAAAAGTTACTTTCGGAAGACAGATTTCCAGAATCCCTCAGATAGAATAGTTCTTCTTGACCATGCTGATTCCAACCCCAGATCTCCCTTTTGATGGCTTGTTTATCTGTCGGCCGTTCTTCAGCTGACAAAGACATCATGTTAGCTCATTCCATTTTTATTTCCAGGAATCTAAATCTCCCCCTCGCCTGACTTTCTTATTTATTTAAAGCAGACAACATATGACTAACAAAGGAACTTATGTGTAAAAAAAAAAACACCCAGATGACCCTTTTCGGTAGGTTCGTAATACAAAAGACATAACAGAGAAGGAAAAAGTGAGGAGGAGGGAAGAGGAAAACAGAGGTGCCCCTCTGTGAAAGGTTTTAACAACAAATTCATGGCCTATGGGGCATGATCCAGAACTTGGAGCCTGTCCAATAGTCCTGTGCTGCACCTATAAGGATAGGGACCCGAGTTATCAGATTCCAGTTCCCATCAGGATCAGCCAGCAGAGCCAATTACCAGGAATGATGGGAGTTGTATTCAAGTCCATCACACAAAGTTGTGTTACTACAGCTCCAAGAATTCACCAATCAGTAATCCGAAGAAAAGTAACTGGTACAGATTCACCCTCGCTACTGGGTACCGGCGTCTCAGGAAGATAACCATTATCTTAAAGAATTGTGGTGTTCTGAGAATAAACCCAGTGATATTTTCAAAGCATGCGGTAGGTTTGTGGCACCAGGGCACCCTTGTGATCCAAGAAAGCTTTATTGCCTTTAAGACCTGCATTTGAAAAAGTAGACTAGCAGTTTGCTAAGGGATTAGACAAGGCTAGCTAATGGCGGCTCTGCAAGCTGTTATTTTCCATCAGTCAGCAAAAACGGATGACGATTCTGCTCCCTGCGCCACTGAGAAATATAACGAGGGAAATATAATGCTCTTCGGGCATTGAGTGAAAGTCTACCGTGCAGACGTTAAAGCAGGGTGAAGCTTTCCCCCAAGGCTTCACAGATATGCCTGGAAAAGCTCCCGCTACTGGAGCTGTTATGCATAGGAACAGGGGCCATAGAAAAAGACGGGAACCTTAACCAGTGTTGGAAATCCTTCCCAGAAGAGTTCGTGTACAATTGAACCTAAGTGAAAAATACTAGGATGCGTGAAGTGGAAATGACTTCGAAACTATTTTTTTAGGAATGTTTCACTCCTAAGGGGGGGAAAATAAATCTTCTGTGATGAGAAACGGGTGCAGAACTGTGTAGATCAGGGATGAAGAAGACCTTCTTACGCTTCTAATTTATTTTAAGAAACCACTCTTGCCTGTGTGTTTTAAAGGCCGCCTCCTTTTATTGTAACAAAATGGGTTTTGAAGAACTTGCATACCGAGGTTTGGAGACAGGAAGTCGGGAAGTGGCGTCGCACGTGGTGAGACAGGACAAGGTGAGATGAACGCAAGACGGGGCTGGGATAAAACCGATCTTGTGGTGTTGTGACCAGTGAAGTGTGGCCACATTTGTACCTGTTTGGAATAGCTTCGGGGAGAGGGGGGGAAACGGGACTTTTGGCTTTTCAGATCTTTGTGGCAGTAGCTCCTTTCAGCGGCAAGCGGTCGGTCAACGATTGCGAGAGACCTGTGTTAGAAAGATATGGAGGAGAAAAGGCACTTTTTGGCTCGGCTACAACACAATGCTTATTTTCTGCCCTTGGTGGCTGGCGGCTACCAGTGGGTGCATGCCGGCTTGCCAGTTTTGCCCATTCAGATGGAACCAGCAAAAATGTAGACGTTTGCAATCTGAAATTGGAGGAAGGTTTAAAGAGAGTTGTGATTCATGTCACAGCTTTATATTCCTTTTAAACCAGTGGGCATTTTAAAACTGAGTTTTGAACCTGTTAAGGGTCTGTTGCATATATTTCGTGTTGCCTTTGCTTTAGTATTTTTCCCCTTTTTTCACTGCAAATAATATTAGCGTTCGTCAAGGGGATATTTTAAATTTAAGGACAATATGAAGCTATTTTAAATAAACAACAAAAAAAGATGAAGTGGGGAACCCTCAGCTCTCTAGAGGTTGATCATTGACTGCCCCGTGCTTCACCACCGACCCACCTGCCTGAGGCTGGCGCTGAAGCCAACGGAGGCTGATCCATTAAAGCAGACGAGGTTCAAACATATCTCATATCGGCTGCTCCTCCTCCACTGCCCCTACCTGGCAGTTAAATTTTCATCTGCATGGAAGCGTAAGGGTGACCTGGACATGAATTTGCTCTGACACTTTTATTGATCATTGATCCACATGCTCCTTAAGGATGACTCTTCTTCTTTTTCTTCTTCCAGATTATATTTGTCTTCTCTTCAGCCCTCAACCCTGGAAACCAAGGTACTTTCAAGCTTTAAGAGGAGTAATGTCTTAGGATAAACACTCCTAGCATTGAATATTTTGTGGCCTCCTGCCGCTGACCTCGGAGGCACCACCTTTTGGGAGTAATAGCATCCTTCTTGCTCCTTTTTTATATATTTTGCTGCACAGAAATGGGCAAGCACTTAGTGAAGCACGGGGATGGTGTCAAAGATATTGCCTTTGAAGTGGAGGACTGCGATTTCATCGTGCAGGTAAGCCACCGCCGGAGCATAGCCCTGTGTAGCTCAGAGGCTGGCTGCCTGGGGCTCAGGCTTTGCCTAATAAGTGCTGCTTGTGTTCTTTCGTCCTTGCGCAGAAAGCCAGAGAGCGTGGGGCCCGAATAGTAAAAGAACCGTGGATAGAGGAAGATAAGTACGGGAGAGTTAAATTTGCAGTTATTCAGACGGTAAGAAAAGGAAAGCATTGTTTCCTAAATGGCTGTTAAAAATCTCAGTGACTCGGAGAAGTCATAAAATTAAGAGGAATGACGATGGTTGATAAACGTGTGTTAGCGGTTTGCATACATTTCCTCGGGAATCATAGCAAAAACTTTGTAAAGGAGACCTGTGTTATCCTTATTTTGCAGCAATGTAGGCAATGCTAAGGCTGGAAACGGAGGGGTTAAGTGGATTAATTCCTGAGAAGAGATCATTGCCAGAATTCAGATCTATCTAGAAACTGTAGTGCCACGTTTTTGTCCAAAAAGGAAATTTTTGCACAGTCTGTAAAGCACATGTTCTGTCAGAAAGCTATGCACTTTTCCCATCTGGGTCCACAAATTAATAAGATCTGCCAGAGGATGATATGAAAATGCTGTGATTTTTTTTTTACTCCCTCCTTTCTCTAGTATGGTGATACCACACACACCTTAATAGAAAAGCCGGGTTACAAAGGACTTTTCCTTCCTGGGTTCGAGCCGCCTCTCTTCAAGGATCCGCTGCTGAAAAATCTGTACGTTTTCAGGCCTTTCTCAGGCCATTCTTGCTGTTTCTGATGTTCGGGCTCCGAGTGCGATTGATGGGGTAGCCAAAAAGGAGCCCCTCTTATGCTAGAGTGAGGGAGCAACAGGTTTGTAGAAGTACATGCGGAGCTACCAAAACAATCTCTCGAGGTGGTGGAAACTGATGGGAAAACCAAGCTGGCAAGGGGAAGAGGGGTAAAGTAGTGGAGCAGTTAGCATTCTGAATAGCGCCATTCTCCCCTGCAATATTTTGTTGCAGTTCAGTCAGTTTATAATATTCTGGTTTTAAAGATTTGTTAGGGTGGGTAAGAGATGTAAAATTTCCAAAAAAATCCATTTTTTCCCCTAGGAGAAAAACAGGGGGGGGGACTTATTTTTCCGGGGGGGAAATGGACATTTTCAGAAATGTTACATCTCTAGGGCGAGTCACACATTATGTGTTGTCAGCAAATGTTGATTTGCCTGCCAGATTCCAGGAGCCAGCCGTATGATCTCCTCTGACGAGTGTTATGGACACACCTGTTGTCTCATTCACACAGAGAGGAAAAAAATTGTTGGTTTGCTGCATCAGAACGGTCTTGCTAGTAGTTATTATAGTTCTGTGTACAAGGTATGAAAAATGTGAGAGATCTTTTTAAAAATGCTAGAAGAACATTTAATTATAGGAAGGTGGATGTTTATGGCTGTTCATCTCTTGGGAAACCCAGGGTCTTGATAACACCCTTGATTTCTAATTTCAGTTGTTGGTGGTTTTTTATTTATTTGTTTGTTTGTTTTGGCTTTCTTTCCAGGCCACCTGCAAAGCTTAATTTCATTGACCATGTAGTGGGGAACCAGCCAGATCAGGAGATGGTCCCAGTGGCAGAATGGTGAGAGTCCCTATCATAATAAAAGTTCATGAAGAAATTCCACCAAATGGTGCAAGAGCTTTTTTGGGGGGGCACTCGGTTTGACCTTGATGAGGATGCAGGACGCTTTGAGTGGATTTCCTCGGCTGGCGGCTTTGTCGACGTGTTTGATTGCAACCCTTAGCCTCCTTAGTTAAGGATTCTGGGGACTGCAGTCCAACATGTCTGGCACGGTCCTAGTTTGGGAAATCTAGTTTAGCAGAACTGAGAGTGTGGACATTCTTGTGTGTGCAGAGGCTGAAAGAAATGAAAAGCTCTCACTTACTCAGTGGATTCCAGTATGTCTCCTTCAGCTCAATGTGGAGGGAAGGGAAGCAGCTTCCTCCACCGTTTTGACTCCGAAGATCCTGCCCTCTTCTTCACATGTCCCATTTCCCATGCGTGGCAGATTCATTGTGGCCCAATTAACGTCTTGCCAACTCTGCTGGTTGACCTTAGAGGGCTTTGATCCGATCCATCTACTGATGGTCTTCTCTGTCTTGAGAGGAAGGATACCATGCAGTTTTATCTAGAATTAAACGACAAAAAGTTTAATTCCAAGCAAATTCAGTTATACATACGATGAAACCAATTCTCAGCACCGGCCATACTCGATGCTCCAAAAAAGCAGCTGCTTGTTAAAATTTGTCATTCATGTTGGAAGAAACCGAGCCATTTAGTTCAGTATTCACTGCTCTTGTCTGGCAGCTGTAGCTGTTTAGTGGTTCAGGTAGGGGTCTCTCCCGGGCTTCCTTTAATGCTCTGGCCTGAACTGGGTTGTTGTTGGGGGGGGGTTGCATGTACAGTGGTGCCTCGGTTAACAACGATAATCCGTTCCATCGCCGTTAAGCGAAAACATCGTAAAGCAAAATTAAAAACCCCATTGAAACCCGTTCAATGCGTTCCAATGGAGTAAAAACTCACCGTCCAGCGAAGATCCTCCACATGGCGGCCATTTTTGCTGCCTGTATAGCGAGGAATCCGTCCCTAAGCACAGTGGGGAGCCATTTTAAGCGCCCGGCGGCCATTTTGAAAACCCGACGATCAGCTGTTTTTGATCATCGTAAAGCGAAAATCTGTTCCCAAAGCAGGGAACCGATCATTGCTAAGCGAAATTCCCCCATTTAGACTATTGTTTTGCGATCGCAAAAAGATCGTCGTAAAGCGGATTCACCGTAATGGGGGGCAATTGTTAAGTGAGGCACCACTGTACACGTAACACGACCAGACCCTGCATGAAAAAGGGCACATTGACTTAAGGAGCATAAAACTGCTGATCTCGACAAGACGAGTCAACTTGTTTCTGTTTCCTCTTTGCCTGCCCATTCACAGGTACCAGAAAAACCTCTTGTTCCATCGCTTCTGGTCTGTGGATGATAAGCAGATGCACACAGCATTCAGTGCCCTCCGGTCTATTGTGGTGGCCAATTACGAAGAGTCCATCAAAATGCCCATTAACGAGCCTGCAATGGGGAAGAAGAAATCTCAGATCCAGGTAAAAACAACAACACCCAACCCTCTAGACTTCCAGCATCTACTGTGTAGGTGAGCAGCCTTTTTGTATCTTACAGTTAAGGGCCATATTTGTCTCAGGGAAAAGGAACTAAAAGCCACATACTGGTTGCAAAAACCCAGTCACTGGCAAAAATGGGAACAGGGACTGAATCTGTGACGGCACCAGCTCTAGCCAGTCGGTGCAGTGCACATCCGCATTTCACACTATTTTGCAGCAAGATATAATAAGAGTGCATGCATTTCACACCAAATGTAGGGAACTAGTCTGCTGATATTTTGCAGCAAGATATAATAAGAGTGCATCTGTAGGCAGCTTTACTGTCTTTCTGTTGCGTAGGAATATGTTGACTATTATGGAGGCCCAGGTGTTCAGCACATTGCGCTCAATACTTCAGACATTATTGCTTCGGTAAGACATCTTCCCTCTTTGTTAATGATTCTTCTCCCAAGCTGCCCACCTTGTGGAATGTTACCTGTACATAATGTTTTGTTCCAGATCACCAACTTGAAAGAACGAGGCCTAGAGTTCATGTCTGTTCCGTCCACCTACTACCAGCAGCTTCGGGAGAGGCTGAAATCAGCCAAGATCAAAGTGAAAGAGAACATCGATCAACTGGAAGTCAGTTTGTAACATAGGGCAGTGTGGCCTAGTGGCTACAGGCATGGGAGTCCTCCGCATGGAAAGAGTGGAAAGGGGCTGGATATTTGGTGCTCTGAGTTGTAAAGACTTTAATTCTTCTCTTGTTTTCTGTTCAAAGAAACTCAGAATCTTAGTTGACTTTGACGAGAAGGGGTACCTGCTCCAGATCTTCACCAAGACTGTTCAGGACAGACCAACAGTCTTCCTTGAGGTCATACAGCGACACAACCACCAGGTGTGTTTCATATCAGGTGCTCTTTCCATCGTAGACGGAACCCAAAACCATTTTCATGGATGGCATAGAAGTGACATTACTTCCATGTCTGTTTAAAAACCTTGCACATTATTAGCCTGATGAAAAGGAGAGGTTTGAAAAGAGAGTATGAGCAGAGGCAAATAACATGAATTAAATTTTAGTGCTTCTGCTTCTCTGTGCATATATGGTGTGAACTACTGATCACAGAAAGCCATTTTGAATTTAATTCATGTTAGAGCAGAGTGGTGGTGGTAGGCAACAGGATAAGAGGAAGACCAAGGGTGAGATAGATCGACTCCTGGAAGGAAGCCACAGGCTTCAGCTTGCAAGAACTGTGCAGGGCAGTTAAGGACCAGCAATTCTGGAGATCCCTCAATTCATTGATGGCAAATAACAACCTACCAGAGTGGGTTTTAGGGAACCCAACTGTTATATTCAGTGGGGAAGACAAGGTAACGCTTTCTGAACCTCAGTGGGCTACGTATGCATACATACAGCTTAATGTTTCTAAAGCAGGAATCGATGCTAAATTGTTCCTCTGTTTCCTCCCCTGCCTCTAGGGCTTTGGCGCTGGAAACTTCAAATCTTTGTTCGAAGCAATTGAAGCCGATCAAGACGCCCGCGGAAACCTCACCATCTTGACACCCAATGGAGAATCAGGGTTCATGTAGGGTGGATGTCTGATGTAAGGCATGGAAAAGATTCTTAGGAGAATTCGTTTTTTTTAACAGCAGCTCAAAAGTCTTCTTTCTGTTGTTGTTTTTTTTCCATTGGGGTGGAATAAAACAATTCAGAGCATGAACATTTCTTACTGTGTTTGTTTTTTGAAAAAAATTTTCCCCCGCAAGATGGCTGCCATGGGGGGGGGAAATGGGAAAACTTTGCACATGGTCTGATGAGAGAATTCCCGAAAAGGAAATATACGGCCTTGTAATTTTTTTAATTGTGAGGATGTCCTCTCAAGATGAATAGGGAACTGACAAGTGTCTTTTTCTCCCGCTGTTTGACTCCAGCATCCACTAGTTAGGAGGTGTGCAGGTAGACTGTTTCTGTCCATGGAAGCTCTCACTTTGACTGGTCACAGCCCGGATGTTCAGTGTCTCTCCTCTTCCTGAATTTTTGCTGTACCTTTATGGCTCAGAAAAATATCAAAACATTATTTCAAATGTGTATTTTGAAAGGGAAAAACACTTTAAAATACAAAAAAAGTAAAACAAACAAAACCCTTGCCTTTTACAGTGTAGTTCACAACTTTTTCTAATAAATGTCTATCATATCACAAAGCCTGACTGCTTATCATTCTAGAGTCAAATCCGGACAATGTATGCACAAGAGAAAAGTATCAACAGCCTTGAAGGAACTCCAAGAATTTTAAAAAAGTACCTCCTACCCCCCCCCAAAAACCAGAAAAAGTGTAGAAAAACAGCTTTTTATATGGAGTATTTTCAGTGAGTTCATTGAATTCATTCTTTTGAATCTTGACAGCTAATTATTTCCCTGTGATCTCAACACAGGGTCCAAATCTAAAAGAAATTGTTACTTGAAAACTACTAACCAAGCACACAGGTCTTTTGTAAGAAAAGTCAGTATATTTATGCTTTATAAAAGTTACTATAATACAATGGTACATAGTATTCAATTCACAAAAAAATATGAACAAATATTTACAGCATGACACACCCACAACAAAAAGAAAAACCCACATTCTTTAAAACAAGGTACATACTGATGACAGAGCCTAAATGCACAGAACAGTCCTAAATTTATACAGTTGTTTAAAACAAAAGGGAACAGATTTTTTTTTAAAAAAATAATCTTAAACCTCAAAAGCAGAAACTTTATTCTGTCTTTTTGTTTAATTAACGCAACAACAAAAAAAGAGATGTTGTTTATTGCAAACCATTTTCCTCCTTGGTGTCTTGAAGGAGGTCTTTATTTTCCACACTGTGAATTTTAAAAAGCCAGTATTCTTTACAGAATTCATGAACGTGTAAGAACAAGGACTAAGGGTCCTTCCCCCCCCCCCCCCCCCCCCGCCACTGCTGTTCCTTGTAAGAACTCATTTGCAAATTCTAGCGTTTCTGTGGTTCTTCCCACCCGCTCCTAAATGTCTTCCCTCATTCCAGCAGCTTTGGTGACAAAGAAAGGGTATCGGGAGCTTCATACCAGCATGGTTACCCAACATCCACTTAACAAGACAAATACCCTCTCCTCACATGGAGCTCCAGATCACAGCTGATGTGTTCTTGTTTCTTCTGGAACAAATACTACACTGGTAATTAAGAAGGAACTTTATATAAAATAGAAGAAAAATTTAATTAGGGAAAAAAGTTGCAGTTTTGCTTAAATATTTTTTAGGTTGTCATTAATAGACTGTACACATTTTCTTGTCTGAAATAAATAGATTTTTTTTTGCACGTTAAAGTATCAGAAAGGCAAATAAAAAAGCCTCAACTTGGCATATCTTTTTTTAAATCTTCAGCTTCTTAATGCTTCTAGTTTTGATCTACGTATTTGACAAAAGAGAGTTTTATTTTGTACACAATTTACATTGTACATAGCTTGACACAAGCTGTAAACAGGGCCAGCTTTTTCCCTCAGTGCCACATCACTCCCCAAACGTCCGTTCTCTTCTTGAGGTCTCGGGCTGGCAATCTTTTTTAAAAAAGAACTGCAAACGGCAATTGTCACTTTTAACAAATTATTTACATGCTCTTTTTGAAATACAAATCAAACAGCCAAAAAAACAAAACAAAACAAAAAACAAAACCCAAACTGACATGTTTCTACAAGAAACAGTGTATGAAGAAAAAGAGTTGGAACCGTTGCCTATGTACAAATGATGTGTCCGCTTTAAACTTCAAAATTTCATATTTTTCCCTCTTTTAAAAAACAAAACAAAACACACACCCACATCTTTATACAGAAATGATCCCTGAAAAATAGGTCACAAATGACAGGAACTGAAACGATTTTCCATCAGAGTTTTTAAAAGGATTTTCTCACCCACCGTCGAAAGAAACAGCTTTGACAATAGAAATACTTTCCAGACAGGGGCTCCAGGACCCTCTGACCTCCCATGATTTCACCTCCAGCTGTAGGGGGGGGGAGAGGGTGGACGCGGCCAGGAGGGAACTGAATCTATGAAATCAAGACGATGGGGCGGAAAGTAAAAAGAAGTGTCTGCTGGATTACACTAGTACGAAAAACTGTGGAAGGGGAACGCTCCTTACCCACTCAGGAGTCGAAAAGCAAAGGCTTCGGGTTTGGCTTAAAAAGACTCCAGCACTGGGAAACCCCCAAAGAGGTTTGGGGTCGCAGCTACTCTTTTCTCCACCAAGCCCCCATGACCTGTTCTTAACCAGCAGCACTTCCTTGTTTGGGCTGCGGGGAGCGGATCGGCTTGGTTTACCCCAAGTTTTTTTCCCCCCCTTCAAGGAACAGAAGCCAGCCAGGTTTGGTGGAACAAAAAAGGACCCTTTTGATTTCGGGACAGGCTTATGAGTGGGAAGGGAAAGGTTTTCGATGGGCACGTAAAGGAGACGACAGAAAGAAGTCAATGAGGATAAGCTTACTCTGTTCTGAAGTGGATGAAGTTAAAAAGTGGCTTTCCCAACAGTCTGGAAGCATAAAAAGCCACATCCCAAACAGGTCCGTGGAGAACAAGGTTAAGAAGGCAGGGGACCATTACTAGAGAGAAACAAGGCATGGATGGGCTCCAAACGGACAAGTCACAGATTCTGGTCCTGCTTTCCCATAGCCACGTTATCCAACAATAATGCTGAACGAACCACCTCCAGTAAGAACAAAGATAAGGTGGCTTTCTTTCCCTCTTCCTCTAGAGCAGAGACTCCCAGAAACACCAGCCAGCACAGCTGGTGGTGAACGCCCCAGGTTGGGAACCACCTGCTCCAGAACACCTACTTAGGGGTGAGAGACGTCCACTCTTATATGCTACATAAAGCAGGGTGAAGCTGGCACAGCCGGTCAATAACCATGACAGGGTTCTGACAGCAAAATACCAGTGTCTTATGGGATTTTTCTGGGGTCAAAATGAAAATCTTACTACTATGTTTGCATGGGTTACAATCCTTAGGTCAAATCTCAGTTGATTTCTCCATGGCTTGCAGGCAGACATAAAATTTAGACTGGTGGCAATATATTTTCTGTAAAAAAAATTCGTATTAGCAAGGGATGCCTTTTCAGGCCTTAAAATAGCCGATACATTCACGCACCAGATTACCGTTTTTACCGACTGAGTGACCGGACAAACCCACTGTTCCAGTTGGAAAAACCTGTAAGAAATCTTTTGAATATTTTTAGGAAGGAAGGAAGGAAGAACTCTTAAGAAGAAGACATTGAAGGAGAGGAAAGGGGATCGAAGAGAAATGCCGCAGGAGGTCTCGACTGAGAAACATCGAGAGCTGAATTGCAGCTTTTGATTTGGGTTCTGGAATTCCTCAAGAGATGGATCTTCTCCCAGCTCATCACATCAGCCCACGGTGGTTTGGGGGCCCTTTGGGGCCGCAACCACCCGAGACATGAATAGAGAGGATAGGCTGGAAGACAGCCTGAAGGATCAGCGCTGGGGTGTGAGCTAAAGTCTCTACAACTTAAGGAAAGGCTACATGGGAGAGTTGGGGGGGGGGAGACCCTCGTCTGGGCTGACAGTTCGTTAGAGACCTGCCACAGTGCCCAATTTTTGCCCCTTTTTGGATCCTAAACCAGCTCTTCCTATTCCCTTCGGGGGGGCACCCCAAACCAGATCTGAATATTTTGGGGACTCTGTTCAGAAATCCCACACAAGACAAGAAAAGAAAAGAAAACAAACCAGCTTGCCCTAGAGAATAAGTGCCAGGCATTCACTCAGCAGCTACCCCAAACCCACTCAGCTCATGGAGCTGAGCACCCCCTTCCAGCCTCTGCTTCACATTTTAACATCTTGCATGTCTTCCTCCCAAGTGTCCCCACCTGCCCACTCCCACCCACCCCCACACGAAAAACAAGGAAAACGTAGCAGCATTTCATAGAAAGAGGAACGTTTTTTTTTTTAACAAGACGGTGCCACACTCTCGGCATAAGAGCTGTGCCACTCGGGAGTGAGTGGACGTGGGGGAAGAGATAGTGTTTAGACGGATGGTGCCCTGGCACCCCCGGAACTGTGTGGCAAAGGGGCAGGGGCGGACACAGAGTCCTGAATCCAAAAAAAATTGAAAAGCACCTGCAGATTGAAGAGTTCTCATGTGCGTGTCTGCAAAAATGTCCACCTCTCCCGACAACACAGGCAGAACATCATGTCCAGTGGGTTCCTCCAGCTCCTCCTTCTTCCTCCTCTTTCTCTCTCTCTCTCTCTTTTTTGGCAAAAGTGCAACCACCCTTGGTTGCCACAGTTCGGGCACAGCCAATACGTGGCAAAAAGAAAATAACCCCAAACAAATATTGGAGTTTTTTTTTTTAATTCAGGGTCCCTCTGCAGTTCTCCGAGCCACACAGACAGGGAATCTTAACATCCTCAATTGGGAATTTGTAGTCGTAGGTAATTTCCTCGTTCACATTGATGTACTGCTTCGAGTAAATGACGATCTTTTTCTGGGACTCGACGGTAATGACTTTAGCGTAGCAGTTCGGCTAAAGGGAGAGAATTCAAAAGGTGAATCCAAAGGAGCTGGTTCCCCGGTTAAGATTGTATGCCCACCGCAGCCACAAATGCACCAGGAGGGAAGAAGGAATATATTTTGCAAATATGTTCTGGGCACCCCCTTTAAGACACTTGAAAGAGACATAAGTACAAAGTACAAAGACGGCATCAAGATGACTGACTAGGAGCGATGGGAAGGGAAATCAAACTTCCCTAGATATAAACGGAGATAATGTACTAATGACCACCCACTTCCTTGGGCAGGACAAGACTACAGCTTGTGTTCAATAAGTTTATTTACCTGGCCCCTGACGGGCATGAATCTGGCCGAACCTATCTGTCATCCTACAAATGGGCAAAATCAAGGCAAGCTGCCTGACACCAGAGCAGAAAATAAGTATAATACCGTACCCACCCATCAATGCAGATTTCACTTTAAGGTGTTGGATCTATGGCAGACTAAATTTTCAGAGAGTCAGAAGGCACTTTCATGGTCAGGGAACACTTACGTTGCAACTGTGATTAATAAACCTGGCAAAATTCCCACATTTCGTTGCATCGATAATGGTGTCGTGATCCACTCTGAACATGTAGCTGCTCCCAATGCCTTCATCCTCGTAGCGCTTCTCTCGCATGTCGGCAATTACCTGAGGACCGAGCCAGAAATCGACGTCTGTTTATTAGTCATTAATAAGGCCATCGACAGGAGCCCTCTTGTTGTCACAGGAAGGTGTTACTGGCTGGGAAAGAGTAACTAACCCAGAAGGACCACGTGGAGTGGCATGGCTCAGCAGGGATAAGAACCCGGATCTCCCAAGCCGGAGATGTATATCCTAACCATTATGCCATACTTAATCCCACAGACTTTTTCTACAAGGGCAGCTAGAAATTAATGGATACGACACTGATCAGAATTCTACCAGAGAGAGGCCCTCTAGGGCAGAAATTCAAAAGAGTTCAATGTGCAATATTTTCACCGGACAAACAGGGCATCCCCTTCTTTGGACAGAAGGCGGCAGTAGGCCCCATATGGTACACCAGGGAGAGAGAAACTGGCAGAAGGCTTGAGTCTTAAAGGCTGCCAGGCTGGGAGGGGAACAACAGCAAGAAAGGGCAGTCAAGGGGTCCACCGCCACCCATCTTGAGATCTAGAGGTGGTCATTTATTTCTCAGAGTCTGATTTGCTCAAAACAGACTTGGAAAGCAGGCAAGGCTGAAAGAAAATCACTCATCCCTTCGTCATCCTTCTGGCTGACGGAGAACTCCAAGCCAGTTTCCCTCGCCAGCAAGACCCACCTTCCCCTATATAGGCAGCAGAGAAAGGAAGGGGAAAGCGGCCTCTGAGGTAGGTGGCACGGTGATTCAGGCCACAGGTAAAGGATCACATTTGTAATCCTCCCCCGTATTAAAAAAGTAAACAGAGAAACCACTTTCTTGCAAGGAGAAAACTAACACAACAGGAAACAGCCTGTCTCAGTCTCTCTGACTCTTTTACGTGTCAAGCTTTCTACATGCAGGGATGTGTTCTGCTTTTAAACATGACGAGACTTCCGAAAGAGTGTTGCCCATTGCCAAAGGCAAAGTGGCCCAGTCTGCTCTGCAGCCCCGCTTGTTGTGCTGCCTGCAGAGCCTCCAGACCTATTCCTGCACAAAACAAGGTGGGGACAGGATTTATGCCTGTTCTGACTTCAATTTTAAGACAGTGCATACAAACATACTGGCGCACCCTCAGTCTCTCTCTCTCTACCACAGACATATTCACGCTGACGAGAACAGTGTGCCATTTTTATGCCTACCTGCCGGATATTCTGACCCACGTACTCAATCACCATTTCATCAGCGGCAATGGGCTCCATCGCAAAGAGTCCCCAGTCATGAATGTGACTTTTGCAGAATTTTAGCTTCTTCTTCCGGAACTACGCGGTGGAGTTAAGAGAAGGGGGGAAAAGAGAGGTTTCTTATGAGCCATTTGCTGGAAGATCAACATCATCTCGGGGGCCACGACTTCTAATATTGGCACGTAAGCAAAGAAACCCCACTATACTTGGAACCAAGGATTTTTTTATTTTTATTTTTATTTTTGTATTTCCTCGGTAAGCTGCTTTGTTTGGGCAGCAGAAGTGGACAGGCCTCCCACTCCCGTGTCAAGCCTCCCTTCACTGCAGAATATCTTTTGTAAAGCTCGCTCTGGACCACTACCACTCTGTCCAGTCTTTTCCTATTCTGCAGTTGGCCATGACGTTATAACACCTTAATTACAGCTCAAGACATGAGGCGGATGATACAAACTTAAGATCAATGATTCCCCATGGACATTGGCAGCATTTTGCAGGACACGCAGGACCTTAAAAGCTGGAACACTTTTTTGGGGGGGTGCCTGTTGGGTGAACCCACTATCTGGATCTGGGACTCTATCAAGCCTTTGTTATTCAGAAAACAAATAAGCCACTGAGCAGCTGGTGGCAGTCAACAGGTAGAATGGCACAACATACCTTGAGCTGGTTGAATTTTAACAAATCACTGTCACAGCTGCCTGTGAAGGACGAAAGAAGCCTGCGTTGCTCCGACCTCCTCTCAGAACCAGCCCGGGTGGAAACGTGGATCTGGGCAGGGATACTCATGCCCTGGAGGACAAAAATAGGGAAAGCTCGAAGGTGAGGAAGTTGAGAAAAGCTTTCAGTTCTTGGGGTGTTCTTTTGCACCAAGGCTGCTGGGGGATTGTACAGCTCCGTGGCCAAGCAGCTATTTCACCTACAGTACATAAAATGTCAGGGCTGATCCTTGGTGCCCTTGCTTTGCACAACAGGTGTGAGAACTCCTTCCACCTCAGATCCCAGGAACGGCTGCCTGGCGAGAGACTGCCCAATGCCTCAAAATGTCATTATCATTGCCTGCAAACTGCATTCCCTCCCTCACCTTCCCAAGAGTCGTCATAAACTAGATGACCAGCAGTTGATAGACAGTTCACATTCCCTGCTTTTTTTCCCTACCATAAAGGAAAGATGGTTCGCGTCTACCTCAGAGTAAAGGAAGCTGTCCAACGTATCCTCCACGGATGTGCAGAAGGCTAATATCATTCGAAGCAAGGAGAGAGAGAGAGAGAGAGAGATGCGTCTACCTCAGAATAAAGGAAGCTGTCCGACGTATCCTTCACAGATGTGCAGAAGGCTAATATCATTCTAAGCAAGGAGAGAGAGAGAGAGAGAGAGAGAGAGAGAGAGAGACCGCCCCTCACCTGTGTATCAGCTGGCGGTTCCTCTGCAAATGCCCGGCTGTTATTGAGGTATTTCAGCTTGTCCTTCTTGTCAATTTTGTAATAGCCTTCACTTCGAGCACAGCCGGTGACGTGCTCCCGCATCCCATCGTCCCGTTTCTTCTTCTTTGGAGTAGAAAAGCTGGTTGGTGGCACTCTGTTAAGGGGGAAGCTGGCAGTTTGTGGGTACTAAGCCTCTTGCCCACATGGTTACCTAGTACTGTAAAGCATTTCCTTATTTCACTATCTCTTTTATTTCGCCTTTCAGACCTCCAGACTTCCTGCAGCAACTGCAGGATGCGCTGTCAGATTAAAAGCAGATGAAACGAAACCCATCCATTGGCATCAGTTAAGGCAGGGGTTCCCAGGGGTTCTTGCACTGCGACTCCCAAAAACCTTGGCCAGCACACCTGCTTGCTGGTCAAGGCTTCTGGGAGTTGCAGTCCAAGAACTCCTGGGAACGCCCAAGGCTGGGAACCCCTAAGTTAAATTTAACAAAGGTTTTGCAAGCTTTTGACTTTCATTAAATTCTCTGCCAGGTAGAGTTCCGTTCTGCTTTAAAACTGTAAACATACCTGCTCATCAACCACCATCTTCATCAGATCCACTCCTGCTTAATGGTCAAGGCTTCTGGGAGTTGCAGTCCAAGAACTCCTGGGAACGCCCAAGGCTGGGAACCCCTAAGTTAAATTTAACAAAGGTTTTGCAAGCTTTTGACTTTCATTAAATTCTCTGCCAGGTAGAGTTCCGTTCTGCTTTAAAACTGTAAACATACCTGCTCATCAACCACCATCTTCATCAGATCCACTCGCAAGCGATCGTCTGCATTTCAACCTCCCTCACCTCAGCTTTTATTTTGGAAACCTGTGTATTACGTCTCTTTTTAAGACTGGAGTGCTACTGAATAGGCTTCCACTCCGGACACACTTCATTTACAAGGTTGTATCCACACAACTGGATTTGGGTGTATTTGCCGGGTATTCTTACACCCTTACTGCGTAAAAACCAAGAGTATATTACAGACAAGTTTTCCTCTTACCACGGTTTAACTATTGAGGTTGCACAGAAGATTAACATTAACAAGCCTGAATCTAATACTCAACAGATTCTTGCTGGTCCCAACATAAGACGTCCCATCCGGTAATTCGGCAAAAAAAGGATATGAGGATGGTATACCCACAATGTATCATTCAGCCAGTCCATGCCATTGTCTTGCTGCAACAAATGATCGTACGTCACGCACAGGAAATGGATATCCTCTTCATCTATCCCTCCATTCCAGATGTCATATAAAATGGTCATCTCCTCAAACTCAGAGCGGGGCCGAAACTGGTATCGATGCGGGGAATACTCGGGGGAAGGAATCATCGGGACGTCGTCCGGTCTCTTCTTCTGGCGCCTCCATTGCCGTTTGGATTTCAGGTACTCCTCATCCTCTTTGAACTCTTCATTCCACTGGTTCTCCAGCTCCTTAAAGGGAAGCTTCTCCACTAAAAGTTCTGGGGTGACCTTGTCATGGAAAGCATCGTTCCGGAAGTCCAGGGTCACGGCTTCGGGGTCTTTCAGGGCGTAGAAAGCCTCCGGGTGGCTACTCAACAAATCTTGGTTCACAGCACTTTCCGTCAAGGCCACTGGGATCGGAAGAAGAGGAGGATCCGTTGGTTTGGTGGAATAGGCTTCCAGCAGAGGACCCAACGGAGAGGATCGTTTGGGCCGGCCCGGTTTCCTTTTGACCGGCGGGACAGAAGAGGGCGGCAAAGGAGGGAGAGGTGGGGAAGACGCAGGGTCCTTCAGGGGAAAGGGCAAAAGGGGCCGCGGGTCCATGCCACATTCCTCAAGAGACATCTTGGGGTCCACGAACAGGCAAGGATGAACGGCGAGAGGGACCGTCTGGCTGGGAGGCAAATCAAGCCGGGCATGGAAAGCTGTGACAGGAGGGCTCGCGAAGGGGATCGGGGAAGGGACACTGTTCACACCAGCCAGCAAGGAAGCACCAAGTGGTTCTTTGAAGACTTTCTCATCAGAATCGTCCTCAGAGGGTTTCTTGCCTGAGAGAAGGCAAGGAAGGGTAGCACCAGGCTCTGGGAACGTCGGTGTGAAAGTGAAATCCCGCCCGGGAGTCCGAGGAATGCCACCACTGTTGATCCCGGGGGACTGGGAGGGGTAGGAGAAAGGGCTTCCTGGGACTTGGGGAGAGCTTAAGGTCAAGCTGCTCCCTGTGAGGGGAGCCTCACTGCCAGGGGTAGCTGGGATTGTGTCCGTACTCTGGGACTTGGAGAGACCGTGCGCGCATTTGGCTAAAATGTCCCGCCCGGGGGTTCGAGGGAGCTCTTCCTCTAGCGGAGCGGGCAGCGGCGCTGGCTTGGTCAGCGTTAACTGATCGGGGAACTTGTCGGGATGAAGCATCATCAATTCCTCTTTACTGGGCACAACGGAAGGGAGAGGGAGGGAACAGGGTGGCACGGTGATGACGGGAAGGGCGGCAGGCTCCAAGTGAGCCAGCCCTTCCCGGCCGGGAGTCCGAGGAAGATGGGCCTCCTCCTCGACCGTGGAGATGGACAGCTTGTTTTTCGCTTGGTTGTCCGCACAGCTCTCCTCGGGCCTGGTGGGGTAAGACGTCTTGCTGGGCAGGAGCTCTCCGAAGAGCCCCACCGGCACTGGCGGACGGAGGTGGGCGTCCTCCAAGATCTCTGGCCTTGGACCATCCAGGGCGACAGATTCCAGCTCTATCTCGGGTTCGGACTCCTCCACTGAAACTTGAAGAGGGAAGGGGGGAAGGCACAGATGCAGAAGTGATGAGAAGACCATCCATTCTCCCCACCCAGCAATCAAAAGAAAGCAGTCTGCTTCTTAAAAGTGAGACAGAGGGCTACAGGTGAGAATTCGGCAGGTGACATGTATGCACTATACCCCACCTAAGAAAACAACAACTCTTCTTAAGCAGTTCTCTTTGGCTAATAGAAGTCTGCCCAGGTCTAACCTCAAGGAGAAAGGCAGGGGAGAAATATTTTAAAGAAATAAATACATAGTTGGTGTCCCGCTCTACACTCTCACCGGTCACGCCACCCCTGTTGGAACGAGCTATGCATGTGGAGTTCTAGAATTCACCGGTTACTACTCGAACCTCAAAGACACCTTTTTATGAACAGTCCTGGGGTCATGTGAACGTTGAAGTCCGTGGATCCCTTCCTGAGGATGCCAAAAAGGCCCCAAAAGACAGGAGCAGAGAGAGGTGGCCGCATATTCAGAAGGAACCCTTGTAAGGCAGGGAAGCGAGCTGGGACGGCAGCCACGGACGGCACAATGGGGCAAAGGGGCACCTACCTGGCACGCACACTGGTGACAGCTGCAGCTTCTCCTCCTGGGCTCTTTCAATAACCACCAGCACCTCTGCAGCCAGGGACTCCTCCGACGCTTCCCCGCTTTCTCCTCCAGCTTGCTTGGTCTCAGCCTTCAGCTCCTCCCCTTCTGGCATCAGCGGTTCAGCCAAGGCAAGAGGGGTCCCTTCCAGGTAATCGTCCACAGGGAACAGCTCCAGGATGGTCTCCTTCTCATCATCGTTCTCGGGTTCTGGAGCAAGGGACTCGACGGCCAGTTCGGTGGGCAAGCCAGTGTCTCTTTCTTGCTGGAGAGACGCCCCTTCAAGGTCCTCTGCTTGATGCTGCTCCTCATAGGCCTGCTCCTCCTCTTCCTCTTCCTCCTCCTCCTCTTCTTCATCTTCATCTTCGTCCGTGTCAGAGCTTGTCCCAAAGTCTGAGGATTCGTCACTTTCGTCAGACGACTCCACCTCTGCTCGAGATGAGGCAGGACTCTCTGCATCTTCTACCAAAAGAGAGAGAGAGAGAGAGGTGAGTGTGTTTTCTTCGTGATCTGCTTGGCTCAGACCGAGCCACAGGAACTCACAAAAAGTGTAAGATTTCTGGACTTTTCCCCTCACCCATCCCACCCATGTTGTACTCTCCCCTCATCACAGGTCCTCAGCCTTGATTACGACTGCACCGGATTGTACGAAGCCACTGATTGCAACGAACATTATAAGCGAAGATGAACTTTTGTCTGTTTTTCTGAACTCTTGAACCTTCAAAACCCATCAATGGTAGTTCAAACTCAAAACAATGTAATCAACGAGTCCTGAACAAGAGTTCATACCATCTTCAGAATCTTGATCCTCTTCCTTTTCACTTGTTTCGACTTCAGCTTCTTCCTCCTCCTCTTCCTCCTCCTCCTCCTCTTCATTGATGTCTTCCCCTTCCTCCTCCTCCTCTTCCTCCTCCTCTTCCTGGGAGAGAAGATACGTCAGAAGTTCAGCCTAGATCCATTTTTTGTGAGGGGCAGGAAAGGGCTTATATTATAGCATTAGAAGAAGGGTCAAATGTGGTGCAAATGTCTCAGATAAAACGAGAGGCAACAGAGCCAGCACCCACCACATGGTGGGTGGGGGGTCCTTGGTAGATATTTGAGCAACAGTACTGGAAAATAACTGAACAACATCTGACACGCATTTCAGAGATGAGAGCAAAGTGTACAGATAAAACTGAAGCGACAGGAGGTGCCGCCTGTTTCTGTGAATGGGGAAGCACAAACCAAACAAGCAGAATCAGAGCATCCCAACGAAAGGCCGAAAGAAGGGCAGAAGGATCCACCACCACACAACCCTTTTGGAACTTGGACTTTGCAACTATGGGATGGGAGCTGCCAGCCCTTCCCTCGTTCATACAAGGACTTGTAACTGAGGAGGCTGGTAAGGACATGGTTTCCCAATCTTGGGCGTTCCCAGGGGTTCTTGGACTGCAGCTCCCAGGTGCTGGCCAGGATTTCTGGGAGTTGCAGAAATCTGGGTGACCCAAGGTTGGGAACCGCTGTATTAAGGCACTGGAAATCACATGGAACCTGAAGCTATTTGCTTTTGTTCAGAAAAAGAGAGAAGGCAATGTACCTTGTCTGACACCGATTTCATCACCCCTTCCTCTTCTTCCTGCTCTGCCTCTTTTTCTGAAGAAGATTCTTCCTCCTCCTCCTCTTCCTCCTTGCCTGAGTATTCCTCTTCTCCTTCGCTGTCCAATTCCAGGGGCCTTCCAGGCCTTCGCCTGAGGGCCCCGCCTTCCCCATCCTTCTTGCAGTGCTCTGAAGTTGCATCGGGCAAATCCCGATCTCTTTCAGATTCTGGAGGGTAAGGAGATCAATGAAAGTGACCAGGGAAAGAATCAACCATAACATTGTCAAATGGTCAAAAGGGAGTTATAAAGATTTACAAATATACACTCCCAAGCCAACTACACCAGAGCACAGAATGCTGTCCTCTGAAGATGCCCATGGCCACAGAGACTGGTGAAACGTTAGGAAGAACAACCTTCAGAACACGGCCAAAGAGCCCGAAAAACCCACAGCAACCATATACGCATAAGACCACCCTGCTAAATACTTAACAGTATACAGTATTCTGATTTGGAAGACTCTAGCTACACGGCATTCTAATATCTGCCTGCAGAGGCAAAATTAACGAAATGGACACCGTGTATGTGTATATAATTTATGAGGAACAGTCTGATAGGATGACAGGAAATGAATGAAAAGTTGCTGGAATAGCAGTCAAGAAAAACAGGATGACACATTTAAACACTCACATGAATAATGTGCAGTGTAATAAGATGATGAATTCTAATTTTTCTCTTCTGCAAAGGGCCATGAGGGGTCAAAGTATCTCATGACAAACGTTAATGAGATGTTAGGTTCTTACTGGAAAAGCCTCACACCCATTAAAACACTGAACAACGTGTTCCTTCCATGAGGCAGAGGTAACTTGACCACAATTTCAAATATTACTTAAATGGAGCAATCGCCTATCTTCATTACAAAAAAGGACACCAGATCTTATCCGGGTAACCAAGTGATCCCTCGGGTGTCATGAATTGTAAAAAAATTAATTATCTGGAACTCTGAAGTGTATTGTGGCACATTCAAAGGTGGAGAACATCGTCGTCTTGGACTACAACACCCAGAATACCACAGCTATCAAGACTGCACTGCAAACCTTAGTAAATTCAGCTGTTTGCCATCTTTATAGGACAGGATCCAGACCTGCACCTAGCTTACTTATTACAGTGAGTATTTTCTAAGTGTTAACAAAGTCTGGACCTCACTGTTGCATTTGAGGGGGGAAAATATGCCTCGCTAACCTTCATAGTCATCATCTACTGGGGTTGAGGGCCGGATTCTCTTCTGATCTCCAGCAGAAGCAGCTTCAGGCGGTTCTTTCCTCTTTACCTGCAGAAGCAAAGGAATGGACCTCTTTGAGATTGATTGATTGATTCCTCCGCCTTTCCACTACCAAATATTGCTCACAGTGGCTGACAGTCTTCATAACAGGATAAAAACAAACTTAAGGCATAAAATCAAGTAAAACTGCCATACAAAACAACAACAACAACACACATTTAAATCAACTAAATGCATGAAAATTATTAAAATCAACTAACACCACAAAAGGGAAGGTTAAACATCACTACTCTGTGAGCCTCTGAAAACGCTGGGCTTTGTAAGCCATCCTCTCCTGAAGGTCGTCACATCCAGACAGGTCTAAAATCAAGAGGCAACGATCATACAAAAATTGAAAAGGTGCTAATGATACAAGACTAACAAAATAGTTTCCATTTGTTTGTTTTCCTCTTTGTTATGTTTTTTATCATTTTTAACATTCATACCGGTGTGAAATCTAAATACGTGGAAGTGGATTCAGGTCTTTCAAGAAGGCCAAGAAAGACAGAACATTAAACACTTCCCTCATTCGCTCTAGGAAAGAAATGTTAAAATACTGTAGATGCATGATAACATTTTGGAAATCCGGAAGCTCAAAAAAAAATCTAAAGAGTTCTCTGCCGATCTCCAATTACTTCAGATTCTTATCCCAAACAAAATCACTCAAGTTGTCCTGCATTCCAGATATCTCATTCCAGGCTTCTCGTAACTTTGGGACCCAGCTGATAAAGCTCAAAGTCAAGGCAGTTTTCAGGTCCGAGGGCATAAATCCTGCCTTAATCTCTTTGGAGAAAAGGCAGAACAGACACATGACTAACGAAACCAACAATTAATAACAGTAGATCCAAAACAACTGCAACTGAATGATAACAAAATGCTGTATTCCTCTTGGGATGGACCAGATGCCGAAGGCTGCTTTTACCTTGAACGACGGCAACCGGATGGCCCCTCGTAACCCAATGCCCAGGCCGATCCCCTCATAACCCAGACCTTCTCCTTTGTTCCAGTTCTCCAGAAGACAAGACGTGATGCGATCCTTTGGTTTCGGCTTCTCCTCATCTTTACTTTCCCCAGATTTTACCGGGGTAAGTGATGCCTGTGCAGGACAAACAAGGTTGGAAATTAAAATAGCCTAGTGATGCCTATAATCTGAAACGGAGTAGCGAAGGAGAATCAAAACATATTTCATTCTTCTGGACAGCTTAGCTGCTGAGTAAAGTGAAATCCTCAGAAAGGTCATCCTACCGAGGAGAGGAGCAGGATCTGTTCTCGATCATCCCAGTAGAGGGCAGGACAGGCAACCATGAGCTCAAGTGACAGGAAGCCAGATTTCGGCTGAAGATCAGGAAAAACTTCCTAACTGTTAGAGCGGTACGACAGTGGATCCTGTGACCTCAGGAAAAGGTGGCGAGTGCTCCAAGATGGGAGACCATCAAGAGAAACTTAAGACAACCCCCTGGCAGATCTGCTTTGATTTGGTTTCCTGCCCTGAGCAGGCGGGGGGTTGGACTCAATGACCTTAGGGGACCCTTTCCAACTTCACATTAAGTTACGTTGTCAGTCCATCTAGCTCCAAATTGGCAAGGGAAGCAAGGGGGGGGGGCTTTCTCAATTCTATTCTTCTATTCTCTGAGAATAGAATATTATTTTTTAAATCATATACCTCCTTTCCAGATACTTTTGGGGGAAAAAACCCTCAAAATGCCAACAAGAGAGGAGGTGAATAGAGCCAACTCCCCCCACCCACCCAGGAATGAAAAAGCAGAGGGACACATTTTGTCAGCACAAAGCCACCCCTCCAGAGAAAGGGCGGAGGTCAAGACTCCTCCTACCTTGGCCAGACGCTCCTTCTTGTCCCACCAGTCGTCAAAGGCCCGGAAGGCCACCACTTCCACCATCTTCCGGTTCAGATCTCTTTTCATGATGGCTTTGAGTTCTTTCACAATGACCAACAGCACCCCGTCCACCGTGGCCTTGTGCGGGTCTTCCTTCTTGGGCACATAACCCGGAGGAGGCACCGAGGGGTCAAACTTAGGCAAAGGGGGCCACTGCTGGCCACGGTTGATCGCGGCACCCATGGCGTAGTGCCGGTAGGGAGGAAGGTTGATGAACTGCACCCGGTTCCCCATGAAAGGAGGGTACTGGTACGTGTTCTGCCCTTGCATCAGGCGGCTCAGCATCTGAGTCTGCATCTGAAAGGACATGGGCATCCCCCCCCACTGGTTGCCCAGGACGCTGATCATGTCCATCTGCATGAGCGGAAACATCCCGGGATGGAAGGGAGGAAGCGGCGGCAAGATATGAGGGGGAGGGACCCCCGGAGGGGCAGGCAGAGGGGGAGGCGGGACAGTGACCGCCGGGTGGGTAGGAGGCGGCGGGGGCGGAAGCGGAGGAGGCATCGGAAAGACTGGCTGGGGCGGAGGAGGTGGCGGCGGAGGCAGAGGAGGGAAACCCGGAGGAGGCATCGGGATGGAGGGCGCCATCACCGCCGCGCTCTGGATGGAGGTGTTCACCACAATGTTTTTGGCACAATCCGCGCTCGGGGACTCGTTCATTTCGTCGTCGGAGATCTCCATGTCTTCCCCTGAGGACTGGTGACACTGTGGAGCAAGAGAGAGAGAAGCCGACTGACTGCTCAGCAGGGATGGGGAATCAATTCACAGGACTTGCTGTCCAGTCGGACTTAAGTCATACCGGCAACTCAACTCGGACTCGGCTTGGGCTTTTCTTTCATTGACTTGGGGACTCAACTGACCACTCGGAACCCACCCACCTCTCTTCCCTTTCCCCCCCGCTTGGGCTTTTCCTTCATTGACTTGGGGACTCAACTTACCACTCGGAACCCACCCACCTCTCTTCCCTTTCCCCCC